TCAATACCGAAGAACATGGAACATGACAAACTCTATGCAAAACCACATGAGCTCTGTTCTTTCTCTCCTGCTATGCGATAGTGGCTGGCAATTAAATTCGTTTAGAGAAAAGTGTCGGACTCTGACAAACTGAGAGTAATACTACGAAATTAATTTGTCAAACAATTTGCCGCTGTTGTTCAAATTTGTATTTAATTAATGCAAATTAGTGGGGCTGGTTACAGTGGCAGACAAAAGTCAGCCCTCACACGAGCACCATTTCTCCCTCCCTCTCCCATCACATGAGTCCTGCTTAGACTTTTTCCAGCCGCTGTGTTTAGGTAGCTCACAGAGAGAATGAGAGAGAGCATTTAAGTGACTCAGCGCAGCAGCTGTCCAACGGCAAGAGTAATTTTTGCAAGGTGAGGCATTGAAATAGTGCTCTCCTCCGATAGTCGCCTATTTTGTTTCAGCAGCTGCAACACAATAAAGCAAGATAGCTGCACACAAAAAACTTTATGCGGGCTAGCGGGAACCTTGTAAAAATACACCTTGGCCACCCGGTTAAGATAGTACAGAAGAACGTGCCAAGAGACAGTTAAAATACACACACATTTATACACATGTAGAAGCCAGAAGAGAGCACGAGTAAGAGAATGAGAACTAAACCAGGTCTAGCCGGCAATGCAAATCAATCAGTGGCTCTGCCTCTGCCACTGCCACTGCCTTAAGCGCTTTGGTTGGCCACACGCAACAATAAGAAAACATCACATTTTCCGTCATTATCATCAAAAGCGTCTTTTGGATGCTGGAAAATTGCAAGCATTTCCAGCTATTGGGAGGCATTAGAAGGGAGGGAGAAAGAGCAGAAGCAGGAGAAGCAGAGCAAGTGTGAGTAAGGAAGAGTAGAGCGCGGCGTTTGTTCAATTAAAACGTAATCGTAAAAGCAGAGAAAAAAAGAGAAAGAGTAAAAGAAGAAGTTGGCGAAAGAAACAAAGAATAGCAAAAGCGCACTATAATACAACTTCAAGAAATATGGACATTCCCCGTATTCATGGGTAATTTAAGATTATTGTTTCAGATAATTACCCTACGACGGTACTTCTGTTACTGCCTTATAAAGTTTATGGGGTTAAACAAGATTTTCTGCCTATGTATTAATTCGAACAGAAATTCAAACAACAATATTTGCATTTTGAATTTAAAAAAAAAATTTCAAGCAATACAAAACGGAGATGAAAACGCTCCAAAAAGCTTCTTAACTGAGATGTTCCAATTAGTAAACCGACAACGACGACGCCGCTGTCGACCCATTATCCAAGCAGAAAGAAAACGCTGGCAAAACAGAATAGTCCCCCGACTGAGAGAGGGATAGCAAAAGCTTTGCTCAAAATCAGACACACACATAAATCATTACAGCATTCGAAAAAAGTAACAAAGGAAAGGAAGGAGAAGGAATGGGTAGTGGATAGTGGATACGAATGAGTCGCACGGAACATGAAGGAACGAATCGCAAGTAATAAGAACGCCGCAACGACGCCGACGAAGTAGAAGAAGAACAGAAGCGCAGAAATGCGAATGCACCACAAGCAGGGGAGCAACAACAAAGTAAAACTGAAACAATAAGCAAACAAAAAAAGAGGAAGGGGACCGAGACTCCACTCGACTTGTCTCTTTTGCACATCTTCCCCTCGCTCAGCCCTAATACACCACTGTTAAGCGCAAATCAATGACCTACGACATCAACAAGAGAGCGCAGCGCGTCAGACACACGCAGAGAGCGGAAAGATAGTTGTGGAAACGGGATGGATAGAAAGAGATGGCAAAGCAGCACACCACACTGTAGGATGAAGTTTTGGGTCGGTTCGGAAAAATGCTTCTGCTTCCCCCCACCCCTTCGCCAAACAAGTGCAACAGCTACAGTAAGCACTCGCAAGAAAAGGAAATGCAAGAACCCAAATGGTAAAATTTCTTCGAGTAATAATTCGGTTGTAAATCACGACCCTGGGTTATTTTTCGATTTATTTTTTGTGTTCGCGTTTTCAGTGACAACTACAGGATGAAAAAGACTTCCTTGTAAGAACCAATGTGTATACCGTCAGTAAAAGTAAATTCGTGCGTGAATAAAATACTATCAAACATTTGCATTTATTTCAGTTTCTTCTGACAAGTTTCCACTGTGCGTATAGTTTAACACCTTCTACACTAACGTCTCACTTCAGTGCTTACTGTAGCAAAGGAAAAAATTAAGCTCGACAAAAGTGGAGTAACAGTGCGAAGCGTCAAAAGGAGGAGGAGAATACTAAGAACAGCAAGAGCTGAAAAATACACCAGCAACAATAACTTTGTCGAAGCTCTCTTTTGGCGTGTTTTTTTAGGAGTACAAACCAAGGAAGACAAGGAGGGAGGAAGAGATTGAAAGCTTTTTTGCTGTCGTCCTGCTTGGAATTCTACCCTGCTGCCTTCTGCCTTTTCAGTCTCGCATAAATGCAATAAATATTTTACTTTAGTGAGGGGAGAGAGAGAGATTGCACAAAAGGAAGTTGTATCAAAAAATATACATATATACATACATACATACATATGTACATACTCTCCGTATAAAAAGAGGTTGCCAAAGAAGCACAAATGTATGCTTAGGGTGAACTTTGAATGCTCTTTTTTGTTTTGAATAATACAAATACCCGTGCTAATGGATTTAACATTAATCCGCCCAACAGAGGTTCGATTCCCTACTTATGCTACTGGTCTTCAGGGAAGGGTATTGCGAGTGCTGCTCTACTTGAAGCCCTTTTGCTCGACAATTTTCTTGATAAAAACATAATCGATTGTGCGCTAACCAACACTGGAACACATGCACAAGTTCCATGCCCGTGTCTACATATGCCTACATACATATGTGTGCAGGTGTTTGTGTGTGCGAAGGAAGTGAAAAGGAAATTGCAGTGCAATGTGAATCACCTGGACCAGCAAGATGTAGTGAGTGAGAGAGTGAGTGAGGGAGACGAAGGTAGCGCTTGCAGAATGAAGAACCAAACGAGCGAAATTCTTTAATTAAAATTGTTTTTCCTATAAACAATTGTGACATAACGAGGAGCAGAAAGCAGAGGAGCAGAAACTGCTCATTAAGTCCCAGTGCAGAGAGTGAGTATTAAATTATTTTATTTATAAACTGCAAAGCGAATTGATTGCGAATGCCGGTCGGTCGGTCGGTCGTTCGCTCTCTGCCGTATCTGCTGGCTGGCTGGGGTCTAGTCTGTTGGTTTCTAGGTAAAATACCAATAGTCTGTTTGGTTTGGTTCGGCGACTTGGCCAGAGAGTTCTCAAGCTATTAAGTTGGCCAACCAACCGCCCAACGACATGTGAGGAGTGCTCCAAGTGTTGTCTGGTGTCTGGTCTGTGTGGCATGTGCAATGTTCTGACTTTATAAGGCTGAAATATTGCAACCGGAATGGAATCTCCCTCCTTCCCTCTCTCTCTCTCTCTCTTTCCATTAGCAGCAGCACAGCAGAGACACCACGCAAAGTTAAGAAAATTCATCAAAAGAAACAACACAGACAACAAATGACAGGCAGAACAGCTAAACAAACCCCCATGGAACAAGTAGAAAAACTAACCAAGAAAATTCACGGGAAAGAACAGCTGTACACAAGTGGAGAAATTATCAAATCACCAATGAAGTTTTCAACTCTACTCGTATTGTATTCACATTCGCAGATTATGTTGGTACAGGTACAAATCACTCGTCGCGAGTATTCCCTGTTCGGGTTATTCAAAACGAATGTGTCCGTTTACTTAAGGCGAAATTTCTATCGCTAAAAACTTCATTCAATGACATTTGATGTGTTGAACATTTGTACTACAACTACTTACATTAATACATACATTCAATATTCAATTGATTTTTGTCCAATAAAAGGAAATTCAAGAGCCAGACCGAGAAGAATATAATAAGTGATTTCTCAGTTTGTTGTGATGTCAGTGATATCCAGGTCATGTTTAATGATATTTTGTTTCAACAATATTCCCCCTACTTCCTACATCTGGAGCAACCATCCACCGGCTGAGGGGCTGTTCAAACACATTATCTTTAGAAATGGACCAATTTCCAATGACTCATCCAAAACAATTCACCTCATCATCATCCCCATCTGGCGCCATTAGTCGACTGAACCCACGTTGAATAGTTTCCAATTAAATTAACAAACTGGCAGACCGAATGAAAAAGTCCTCCACTCAAACTACTTGGACTACTACTACTGGACACAAAAAAAAAACCCACAAGTGGAACTTTTAGATGTTAAAATCTAAAGTTTTAGCCTAAATAAAAAGAAAAACGACGAAACTTTAACAATTCTATTTCGTTTCATGATATTTTCTTGTTAGGTTAATCAATAACCTCGTTGTTTTCGTTGTATCCCTGCGCTTTTATGGTTTTCCTTGGAAAAGTTTGTTCATTTTCATTGCTCAACTTTTATTTGAACCCCCCTTAAAGGTTCCATATTTCTTTGGGCCTCCAGTTATCCATTTATTAAATGATTTAGAGCGGTAGTTTGAGCGGTTTGAGTGAAGTTATAGATTGTTTAATCATTCCTCAACATTAAAAGCTGTCAAAGTGTACGCGAAGTGTGCATACACGTCGTTTCAGAGCTGGAAGCATTGCGATCTTAGTCGCACAGAAACTTTGGAGAAATATTAATTTAATGATTTTTGGTAACAATTCCAATAATTCTTCGGTTAGGCACCCCCAACACAAAAATATTTATAGTATATTATCATAAAAAATACTCCTAGCTATCAATCCTCAACCTCCTACACACCAACCATAGCTGTATTATCGATGGGAATGGGTCTTTTGTGTATGGACAAATATTATTGATTAAAATAAACGGGGAACGCCACAATCGTAGTTATCAATCCGCCACATGGGACGGGACACGGGATAACACAAAAAAAAAACTCCAATCTGGGACCAATCACATGTTGATCAACCTCTGTGGATTGGGTTTAAGGTTACTCACCGCTGCATTTCGGTTGGCGGCGGCCACCACAGAGTTGTTCATGTACTGGTTCTGAGGCGGCATCATGGCAGCGCCCATTGGAACCGTGGGCTGTCCGCCCATGTAGACGTAGTCCGGAGGTCCGCCGGGCGGTCCGAGTGGTGGCTTGGGCATGCCTCCGTTCATGCCGGGATGCATGGCACCGGCATGGTGATCGTACATGCTGCCCGACTGGGCGTAGGGGGGTATGTGCCCCAAGGCAGCGGCATGACTAAGAAGATTCGAGTTGTACTGCCCGGGATGACCGCCGGGTTGCTGTTGCTGTTGATGCTGCTGCTGCTGGCCGGGATGCTGCTGGTTGCTGAGACCGACTCCCAGGCCATTACCGTTGCCCAGGCCGTTTCCTCCGCCCATGAGATGATGCGGTGGTCCCTGATTCTGTTGCTGCTGCTGCTGGGGATGCGGCGGCTGTTGCTGCTGGTGCTGGGCCGCTACGGCAGCGGCTGCCTGGGACATCATGTGGTTGTGCTTGGCCACGGCTGCAGCCTGTTGCATGGCCGCCATGTTCGCGGCTGCAGCTGCCATTGACGGATGGTGGAGTCCGCCGTTCGAGCCGGAGCCACCACCTCCTCCGCCTCCGCCGCTGCCACCACCCATGCTTCCGAGCCCGCTGCCCATGCCAATGGTTCCGATGGCTCCTGGTCCACCGTTGCTGCCGTTCCCAGGCTGCAGCTGTCCGCCTGGAGCTGCGTTGGCTGGATTCATGGGGGGATTGTACTTCCATTTATCCGGGTTCTGCAAATACCACATACGAAATTTTTCATAAAAACCAGGTTCTAATATTTTGTCAATGCCAACCCACTCCACCCTCTCCCCTTCCTTTTCTGTTTCTGCTGTCTCATTGCCAAAAAAAACAAGCGCCATAAGCTGTTTATGCAACCATTTCTGGCAGGCAGCGACCTTTCGGAACTTACACAAGCCCCCACCCGCTTGGCCAGCCCCTTGGGGGTGCAACATTCCAGACAGATATCAAGAGCCTGCTGCCGCTGCCTGACGCAAGAAGCACAGAAGCTCCGCCACAGCGGAAGCTGCGACTGTTTTTGTCAGCCAAAAACGAAGGCTAAGAAAGCGATGCAAAAGCAGTTCCACACGCAACAATATTCACAAGAGAAAATGGTTACGAAAACCCAAGACCTATCCGACCGGATCTATTCATATACGAATGTAGATGCGGTTTAAAGGAATCGAATGGATCGCTCCTCCTGCCTTGTCCCCCAAATGTAGCCATTTTTATTATTTTTACAGAACCAGAAAAACGGAAGAACTGAAGAATCTTAACAGAATGCCATTAACCATATGCAAGTATATATAAAATATACTATTTCCCCTCTTACTTACATCAATGCCGTGACCATCATCGCCGCATGCCCAACGCGTTTGCTGTTGCTTCTGGGCAAAGTGGGCCGCGTACTCGGCGGCAGCTGCCTCGTGCAAGGTCGAGCCTACGCCACCAGCTCCCACTCCGACTCCTCCGCCACCTGGCGAAGGACGCTGCTGGAAGACGTAGCCGACGGCAGCGGCTGCTGCGGCGCCAGCTGCATCGGCGGCATCCTGTGACACACCGCCACCGCCCCGGGACGACCCTATAATGGCGTCCGATCCAACGCCGACGCCGCCGCGTCCGTTACGATCATCGTTACCACCCAAAAACTTCATGTGTTGTTGTTGCTGCTGTTGGTGTGGCTGCTGCTGCTGTTGCTGTTGTTGTTGTTGAAGGTGTTGAAAGTAGGGTGGTGCTGGACCGTAATGTTGTTGCTGCTGCTGTTGTTGTTGGTAGAGCTGTTGCTGCTGTTGATGATGCTGCTGCTGCTGTTGTTGATGATGCTGCTGCTGCTGCTGCTGCTGGTGGTGGTGCTGCTGCTGCTGCTGTGGATGGTGTTGCGGCGAGGGCGTCGATATGGAAATGGTGGGCGCGGTTAAGAGCTCAATTTTGACGGCTTTTCAAAGCTGTCGCAGCTGACGAGGGGCGCGTATTGCTAACTGTGAGGAACGAAGAAGACTGCGAGAAATACAACGAGAGGACGACCACCGTCGACGACGACGAGGGACGATCGAGAGGGCGCGGATTTAACGTGGTCTCGTTACGTAACGTTACGTTTTTACGTTCCTTAACAATCTCGCGCTTACAGTGCTTCTTAAACTTTCGATCGTTTCAAAATCTGCACAGTGGTTATTTACTGTATTATTTATACACAAATTATTTCTTTCATTGATTTTGTTGTTGTTGGGAAACCACACACACTTTTTAGCTTAAAACATTAAACATTAATTTACAGCATTTGCTTGAGATTTCTTCGCTTTTATTTATTTATTTTCTCATATCATATTAAAAAAAATATTGGATTTGTTGTCGGGGAGTTATTATTAGTTGTCTTCTTGTTTTTTTTACAGAAATTTACACTATTTAACACAAACTTTAAGAATAATATTTTACACAGTTGCACAGTTGTTGTTTGGGACTTAACAAAAATGAATTTTATCATGTAATTACGTATGGAAAATTGGTTAAAATTGGTTGAATTTTTACAGATTTATTATTTGAGAAGTGTGGAATTTTCTTCTTTTTGAATGAACTTGTTTGTTATTTATAATTAGGATGAATTTTAATTTACACGACGTTTAATGATGAAAATATACACAAACTGAAATGAGAAAGATGGGGGAAAAACGTATATTAATTTTTTTATCCAAAAGTCAAGATGTCAGGATAGTGTCCTTCCTGTATAAACAATGCCTGTAAGGGGGAAAAGGGATAAATAGGAAATCCAAGACACAGGCACCAGTGTGCCTCAGACTGGCACAGATCATTACTAGTACCAGTTTATTGCTACCCTACACTCCTGTGGCATAAGGAAGTGCAGTGAGCAACAAAACAAAACACGACCAATTCTCAATAAAAGAAAATTCTTTTAAAACTGAAAGATGAGTAAAACAAAAGCGAGCACTGATTTCCTCATTATAAAAACAATAACAAAACTGTAAGGGAGAAGAGGCGGACCAGAGGAGGTAGGGTAGGAAGGCAGTCAGCGAACAAGAAGCAGCAGAGCCAAGAACAAGAACAACGCAAAGCTGAATCATGCGCGAAAAATACAGAAAAGAAAAAGAGCACAGGGAAGAATGCTAAGCTCGACCTTGTGGATACCCCGCTACACAAAGATTTATTAGTGGGATATAATGAAATTAAATATACAGTTTTATTTGACATCATTTAACTGGAATGAATGGAAGGAGTTTTTCGACTCTGGTCTGTACAATAGTATGAGACATGGGATTTTCTTTCAAACGATACTCTTACACATACATTATACAGGGTATCAAATGCGAAAAGACAACGCGAAGCGAGCGGCAGCGACAGCAAATAAGAAGGGGGCGGAGAGTGAGGGAGGTTGAAAATGGAAAACATATAGAATTAACATACACACATAAACAGAGGAACAACAAGAAGGAGACGCAACTACGGCGACGACGACAGCCGGCAGACGAGGAACGCCGACGAATGGCGGCAGGCAAACGAAGAAGGCAGGGCGCCGCAACTTTTGAGGTTACGTTTCGAAAAAGTATGCGAAACGAAACGTTGTCGTCTGTGGGTCGGCTTGTTTATGAGGAGCATCTCCTGCCCATGCCACCCACCCCCTACCAACCCATAGCATAACCAGAGAGAGCAGAGAAAGCAAGTGCAGCAGCAGTAGCATGCGAAAAACGCAGAAGTTGCCTCCCTCCGAGAGAGCGAGCTAATAGGGCCCTGGAAACACACACACAGACGCACAGGAACAGTCCACGCACACATTGAATATAAAAACAAACATAAAGATAAACCGTAAAAGAGACATGTGAAAAACAAAGGCACGAGAACGAAACAGGAGCAGAGTGAGTGCGCAAAGGAGGGGGCGTGGCTGGCTCGGGAGGCTCTGATACAGCTGATGAATATTTAACCATTGGATAAAAAAAATAGATTATTTATTTAATCTTTCATTTCATTTTTACTTGGACGTTTGACGGCGACCTAGGTGTTCTTATTGGTAAAAATTCGTGTACACAAATGCAAGCGTCCAGAGAGGGAGAGAGGACATTGAGAGAGAGGGAGAGAGAGAGAGCGCACAGTGCAAAAGTAAGAACAAAGAAGAAGAAGAAGCCAAATGGCCGCCGCCGCCACTGACAAGGAAGAAAATGATGGAACCAAGGCACAAGGCGAATAATGGGGCGACACATCCAAGAAAACAGACAAATACACACGCACTGGCACACGAACGCACAATCGGAAAATATTTCACTAAAATATTAAATATTCATTCAATTCCACTTTATGTGTGTTTGCAGTCGGAAATTGTGACCGCGCAGTCGGCAGCGCCAGCGACCCGGCCAAAAAATTTAATTGATTTTTACCTTTTGGGGAAAAACAATTTGATTTCTTGTAGGTTTTTTTGCAAACCAAACTATTTTTATACTTGTTCAAATATAAAAGCGGTCTGGATACACATACCACACTCAAACACACACATTGCACACGCTGTCGCCGCCGCCGTTGGTTGCCGCAGTCGAAAAGGAACCCCGATGATGACAATGTAAAAAGAGGCAGGAGGAAAAAATACGGGAATCGAATTGAACGCTTCTTTTATTTTTTGACACTTACACATGCACTTAAAAACCATTCACGACACGCTTAAGTTCTGTTAATGTGTGCTTTTGTATTTAATTTAAGTTATTTAAATTACAATTATTTACACAGGATGAAGAAGAAGAATACGGCTAAGAATTCTTCAACGTCGCGTCCGTAGCAGAACGATAATAAAAGCGAAATGCAAAGACACACAGGGCAAATACAACAACATAAGAGTAGAACAGAACCGCTGAAAGAGAGAGAACCAGAACCTGGGCAGTGTTGTCAAACGTGCGAAATCAACAGAGAACAGAGCATGTCCAACAAGAGAGAGAGCGAGAGAGGGAGAGCGCGAGATGAGAACGGCAGAAAGAGCACACACAGACGGCGTTTTACATAGAATTGTTAAAAATGTAATACTAATTTCCAAGGGAGGGAGACAGAACATATGAAAATTTGATTAAATTATCACAAAAAACCGAATCGATTGCAACATTTATAAGTCCATCTAAATATTAATTGAAATTTGCCATGCACTGGCCATTCAAATTGTTTATACATTATTTATCAATCGATTTTAGGCATGCTAAATTTGATTAGACGCCAGAGAACCACACACACACAGAGCCATACACACTTAGCCACACGGCTCATCATACATACACACACAATGGTGTTTGTTTTGTTTTTGTTTGCGGCTTTTTTTTTATCAACTGCTTTGCGGCCGACAGCTATTTTTTTTGCTATAAGCACGCGGCTTTTGCTGCTTGTTCTTTCCCGCACGCACAAACACACACACTCAGTTGTTTAGCATTTTTAATTTAGCCTCTCTTTTATATTTGTTTACACGGCATGCATTTCGTTCTTTTTCGCTTCATTTTATCATCATTCTGCTGAAGTTTTATGAATGTAATAATGGAACTTGGTTCGCGAAGCTTATCTTTATGTATTATTGGATATATATCTTCTAGATTTTGCATATTCACACACCTTAGCTTATTTTGAACAAAATTTACATAAAACGCGCAGTGCGCTCTGATAAAACTGTTATCATTTATCGTTATCGTTTCTTGAAGTGGAACTTTTATTTGTGCCGCAAGGATAAGGGTATGAGGTGTGACGTATGACGTCACAAAATCCAGAGCTTTCAAGGAAAAAACCCACCTCACCACATAACTCACCGTGCGGGATTTTGTGCTTTCGCGCAACCATGGTATATTTAGTCCATCGGGGCTAGGGTGAGGTCCTTACGAGGCCGTTTTAATACTGGGGCCATACCTTGCCATGACCCAGTTGAAAGAGAGCACTCAAACCGCTCTCCCGACTCATTTTTGCGGTAGAGATGTCAAACCATCGTGGGCACTATCGATAGTATCGATATTTTACTGCTAGCCTCTACTATCGACAGTTTTTTCCCAAGGTATGCAGATTTGTTGCTCATTCCGTGGCAAAGTTGCACAACAGTGCTGCTATTCATTTCCACATGTTGCTGAAATTTTTCCCATACAAATCAAATGTATCTTACGGGAACGCGTAGAAAAGACGCAACAATGAATCTTCATTCTACGTTCCCATTAAGAACATGTTTCTCACACCACGAAAAGTCACCGCGAAAACGCTCTCTTCACCTCAAAAAAGAGAACAAATTTTGAAGACCCACCACGAATTGAGAGCGAAAAATATCGGAATTTTTGTGCGCTAAATGAGAGTGGCGGTCATTTTAAAATGTATATATGTACATATATGGAAAAATAAATAGTTCATTTGATTTGTTTTGTCTAGTGTGACTGGAACCTCAGAAACCGAAAAAAATAGCTTAACCCCGCTCTATTTAATCAGGTTAGTAACCAGTAAATATCAACAAAAAAAATTTAATAATTAATAATTATTTGAGCCCGATACTATCACGATAGTATCGATTGTTTTTTTCAAAACATTCAAAACCTTCGATGGCTCAACTATCAATCGTTTGACAGCTCTAGTCCCGCTTGTTACTCACGATTTGGAATGAATGCAGCGGAGAGAACGATAAACAAAACCACCAAAGGAAAAACGCCAAAAAAGAGCCGTATCAGCTGTTAGTTTGGTGTGGCCGCGTATCGCATTTTGTCGTGTCTGTCATATACCGTATATTTTGACAATGACATGGTATGTTTCGGTATAATTCCGAGGGTCAGGCGGTATATTTTATCGGTACTGTACTTCCAGGCAGCCAACGATTTAAATTTGAAATTACTGCTTATTCATTTTTCAGAATAAAGCCTTGCACCTCCTAGGTCAGACAAATCCATGCACCTCCCTCTTCATCCGACAGAATCAATACCAACCCGTAATTATTATTAGCCGCCCACAACTGAAACCAAACACGATGTGTTCTAATACATATACATGTGTTGTGTATTTTAATTTTTAAACCATTGAGTCAATTCAATTTGATAATTTCTTAGTGAATTAAAAAGGAAATACAATTTTTTCTTCTCATCTCCGTTCTCTTAGAAATAGGATGTTTGTGAATACAAATGTGTGTATTGTATTGTGCATTTGTGTTTTTAAACGATGATTGAAAGGCTTCAATGAAAGCAAACGGAATATGCAAAACAACTATACGGACAAACATTTGTTATTTCAAAATATCTTAGCCCTATATATGTAGTGTATGTATCTATAGAGGGTCTTGTCCTGAATAGTCTTGGGGGGGAAAGTTGGAGCTGCATTTCCTGCACTGTGGTCTGTGGTGCCGAAGAGGATTTTTGCTTATTTTTGTTGTATTCCTAAGATTAATATATGTAGGTGTCGAGGGGTGCTTAGGCAGTGGCCGACTCGGGCCCTGCGGCATCGGAGACACATTCAATGGATTCGGCGGTATCATTGGCGGCCTCGCCGTCGCATGTCGACTTGGAGTCCTCCTTCGAAGAGGCGGCATCCTCGTAGGCGTCATTAAAGCCGCGGTCGCGATCGGCTGGCTTCTTGCTAGCAGCATCATCAGTGGATTCGTCTCCGTCATGATCGTGGTTTAAGGCGCTGTGATTAGCTTTTGGCGGACGTCCGCGCGGCTTGGGAGCTCCCTCATTCAACGACTTGTTTGGTCCAGGAGGACGTCCACGCTTCTTGACTGCAGGAGGAGAAGCAACGGCTGCTGCCTTCTCAGGCTGCTCCTCCACGGAGTCCTCATCTCCGTCCTCGTCGTCATCGTCTTCTTCCTCAACAGGCTTGCTGACTTTTGGTCGGCCGCGTGGACGGCCAGTTGGCACATAAGCTGGCTTGTTCGATGACGGACGGCCGCGTTTCTTGGGCGAAAGTCCATCTCCGGTCCATTCGGCTGCCGGGCGTTTCTCCACATGAGTTTTAGGTCTGCCCTGGCCACGTCCGGTGCGTACAATATTCAGATTGACGGACCCAGTCGGGGGACGTCCCGCCCGGCGACGAATCTCTTCATCATCATCGTCGCTCTTCTCATCTAAGGTATATGGGAATTAAAAGGGGAAATCTCACAAAATTTTGCCACTGGTCTTCGCTTACCTTCGCTCTCACTTGGCTGATACTTCTTGGGACGGCCCAGCTTGCGGCGCTTGGGCGATGAGGCCTTTGATTTAGCTGGGACCTCAGCATCGTAGTTGTTGATACGCGGGCGACCGCGTCCCTTGGGTATGAGTTGGGGAGATGCCACAGTCTTTGCCACATTCTCATTGGAATCGTCATCGCTATCACCCTCACCCTCGCTGTCGCTCAGATTGACCGGCTTCTTAGCTGGTCTGCCGCGCTGTACCTGGACCTTAGCACTCTTTGGCGGTCGACCACGCTTCTTCGGAATCGTGGCGGCGGCGTCCACCACACTCGGACTTGCACTTTGCTGGCTACCGGCTGCAGCAGGATTCTTTGGAGGCCTGCCGCGCTTCTTCACCGCAACCTCTTCCATGGCTGTTTTGCTGTTGCTGTTCGTGTTTTCTTCGCTAAATGCGCGCGCTCTCGGCTCTGCAGTGGCGTCCCTACTAATACTCACACACACACGCACACGCACGTAAATTTTGCTTCTTTTCGATTGCGTCTTTCACTGAGCGTCTTCGCCTTCGAATGGTTTAAGTACGCTAATAAAAACTGCAGCTAGTATTGTCTCGTCGTTGCGCAAATATTTGCTAATAAATTAATTTCCTAAAATGCAGGGAAAATTATTAATTTTCCCAGCCGCTTTATTTTCTTCACTTTTCTTACGAGCACGCTACGCCGATGGAGTCGGGTTTTCGCTGTTTTACAATTTCCTTCGCCCTATCGATATGCAGCCGCAGCTATCGCACGCAATTCCAGCGACTTGAGAAAATAATTTAATATCGGCCCAAGCGTGGATTTGAATGGTTTAATTTACCTGAAATTTACGTGGATTTCACCTGGAATACACTAGAAGAGGCTTAAGTGTAGTGTGGAATTTCGTTTGTAGTTCTTGCGTTTCAGCCTGCCGGCCGGTAATAAACGATATTAATGCAGCCGATAATAATGCGCGGTATAGATACCAAAATGCGATAACGGGCGCACGTTTTAAACAACTTATTCAAAATAAAAAAATTAGCCTTTTTTTTTGTTTTGAAGAGGAAACAAACGACTTACAATACTCAATCAACACAATACTCAAAAACCAAATTCAAACATGACTTTTAACAATCAAAACTTTTTCAAAGGCTTGCTATATGTTTGAGACTGCGAACAAACTTGATCGACGAAAACGAAGGGAAGCAACAAAGAAAATTTAATCAGACTTGCCATGACATTTTAACTTTTAACGCAGCACTTGAACTTGGCTTTAATAAATCAAGCAATGTGCGTTGTTTTCTTTTCTGTTTAAGCCACAATAAAAGCAGCAAAAGAAACCGATGGTCAAGGCATTCAGCATGATTAATCAGAATATATTTTCCTGCCCTAATTGTCAGTTATATATAAAAATAATACAAGTATACCCAGGAGCCCCTCTGGCAACGCGGTACAATGAGAAGGCAGAGAAGGTTACACACAACTGTTTATTTAATTGTTAAACAAAAAATAGACATGTATTTATTTGCATGATTACCATGATTCTTTAATAACTGATTTAAATATTTATGTATGTATGTATATTGCAAGTCGTTAATCGAAGGGGTATATTCTTGTATATATGTATATGTATATAGTAGGTATGTTTAATTGATGTACTGCTCCATGGGCATGACAAGTTTAAGGTATATTTTGTCTTATTTTTTAGGAACACACTCCTGCACACACACACACACACGCACACACATAAACTAGAGCAAAACTTAAGATTAGAAATTACAAATAAGGAAAAATTTACATTTGCGCAAAAGATACAAAAATTACAAAATAGGGGAGGGGAATTTGGATAGGATAGAACATATAAATACAAGTTAATTGCAGTATGCGGCTGTGGGGGCGTGGCAGAGTAGAGTGCGTGGCGTGGTGGAAAGGGTGAAGGGTTCGGGTTCCCTTTCCTTTCGTTCTGATACTTACAGTTGATTTCATCTTTTCTTTTCTCTCTAAATTTCTAAATTACCAATAAAATTTGTTTTTCTCGTTTCTCTTTATCATATAAAAACAAGTTTTCGAACAACAAAAAATTAAAAATAAAACAAAAAGACAATGATGTAAAACTAACTGAATGGAAGGGAGAGAAGAGGAGGGGAGGGAGGGCCGGTTGAAGAGATGGGTTGGGCGTTGGGATTGGTGCTCCCAGCTGCTGCTTTAGCAAGTAATCTTTTTTCGTTTGTTGTTGCCTTTTGAATCTCATAAGTTTTGCAGGAAGGATAATAATTTCGTTTCGTAGTTTTTATTCGATTCCAGATTACGCAACGAGTGGCGCTCCTCAGGGAATACATGCAGATCGTACGGCTTGTTGGCCTTATTCAGGGCACTGATCAGTTGGGAGGTGTGGTAGAAGTGCACATTCTCATCGATCAGCCCGTGAATCAGCAGCAGCCGATTGTCCCTGCAAGAGAGAGAATCAAATCAATGTAAATAACCCGTTCCATCCACCCATCACAGATGTGGGACAAGCACTCACTCTTCGGGGAAGGAGTTGACGTAGTTGAGCACCGATCCAGCCGAGTATCCAGCTTCGTTGTGGTGCGGCAGATCCATATAGCGTTCCGTGTAGCCCGTATCGTAATACTCCCAATTGGTTACCGGCGCCCCGGCAATGGCAACCTTGAAGATTTGCGGGAACTGCACCAGGCCCATCAGGCTGAGGTATCCACCTGAAAGCACCACCACAGATCAAGAAATCATTACAGACCGCGGCCATTTAATTAAACAATTAGTAAACACCAACTGACCGTAGGACCAGCCATGGATGGCTACACGCTCCATGTCGATGTATCCTAGCTGGTCGGCCAGGATGCGCAAGGCATCGACCTGATCGGTGAGCTCCACCTGTCCCATCCGGCCGCGTATGTGACTCTCGAAGCGCTTGCCGCGATGCCGAGACCCGCGCGAGTCAATGCAGATCACGCAGTATCCCTGAGCGGCCAGCATGTGCATGCGGAGCTGATGCTTTCCCTGGCAGACACAGACACAGACACACAATGGATTAAATTATATCGTGCAAAACTGTAGCCAAAGAGCCCAATCGAAACCCACCTTGAAGGTATTGTTCACGGTCTGCACCTCGGGTCCACCGTAGACATTGAGCACCGTGGGATATTTGACTCCCATCTCGAATGTGTGCGGCTTATAGACCATGGCATAGACGATGTCGCCCGATGGCAGTTGTGGCCGAAAGATTTGCGGGCAATATTGTGGCTCCGGCTTGCCGCCCTCGTGCAGGTATCCCATCAGCGAGATCTGTATGCCGTTGACGCCGCCGTTCTGGCAGGTCTGATTCACCCGCATAACCTTGCAGCTAGGCAGTCTCTGGATGTTGCAATAGACCAGCAGCATCAGCGAGCATTCCTGCGGAGCACATGGCACATATATTAGAACGAGATTAGAGGAGGGAACCAGTACCGGATCATGGGACGTACATCATCAAACTCCACGAGGTACGAGTACCCCGGCTCGGTTAGCAGGCGTATGTGCTCGGGTCTCTGCAGACTGACTACATAGAGGTGCTTCTCCAGGGGGGTATCGCGCAGACCCACGAAGTAGACCAACTGATTGGGCTTGTCCACCCAGATGTTCCTGGCCAACACCTCCCATTCACCGCTGGTCAGCGCCACCTTGTTGATGATGCGCGGCTGGAGGGCCGACTGCTCAACAAAACTGGCCTGCTGCTGCTGCTGCTGGGGAGCAGACGGAGTGCCAGCATCGGACTGGCCATTGGCATTGGTCAGGACCAGGCTGGATGTGACGAGATACAGATGCCGGAAGCCAGTCTCCTCGGAGGCCCACACATAGGTGACACTAGTCTCGCTGACCTCGAGAATGTACAGCATGTCGTGGACATTGATCCAGCTCTCCGATTGCTCCGTGTAGAGCACCTGCAGCGGCGTGATGGTGCGACTGTAGAGGCTGCGCCAGCTGTGGTCCCCAATGGAGTCCGTTGGGGTGGACACCTGGCTGCTGTACGACTCGCAGAAGTTGTCTAGCGGTATGAGAAACAGATCCAGCCTCTGTTGCTTCCTGTTCAGGCCCTGGACCCAAACGCTGCATGCAAATAACCAGTTGGCAGTGGCAATCGGTGAGGGACTATCAAAATGTACTCACTAGTTGGCATCTGGTGTCCAGCCGACGCGGACAATGTACTCCAGCCAACTGAAGACGGCCAGGAGGGAGTACGGCAGATCCTTGATGCAAATCTCGCTGATCTGCAGCGACTCGTTCAGGACGAACTGAACGAGCTTGAGCTTGGACTTGGCATTGGTGCTGCCAGTGCGTGGGAAGCGATACTCATCCACCCGGCCATGGACAGCCGTTGACGAGGGAAACGTGTACAGGGAGACCTCCGTTTCGTCCACCTCTTCGTAGACAATGCGGTAGATGCCATCGTCAGAGTGCGGCTGCCACCAGAAGCCCTGATAGCGGCTAAACTCCTCCTGCATCACATACGAGGGAACTCCGGCGCTTAGCGCATCGTCCGGGTAGGAGTGTCGGCCGCTACTTGTGTACGTTAGCCGCTTCTCGTGGCCGCTGAGCGTGTGGGTGACAAAGAGGTCGCAGTCACTGATGTAGGCAATCATGTCGGAGTTCTGGGGACAAATCTGCGGATCCAAAGCGGTCCACTGCGGGCAGGTGCGTAGCTGTGTGGGAAACAGCAGGCCAGACTGGTTGGAGGTTGGAGGAGGATGTTAGATTGGAAATTAGATTGGATGTCAAGAGGTATGCTACTCACATTGTAGCCTGTGTCCAGACACTGATACAGATCGTTGAAGCAGGGAAAGACGAGCTTTCCGGAGGGCTTGTGCAGCTCGTAGCAGGTGATGCCCCAGGTGGAGAGGCGCTTGCGCTCCTGCAGCAGCTGAAACTCTCTGGCGTAGGGACAGGAGCTGCCACTTGTGCTGCTCACATGGGCGCTGGGTATGGGCTGTTGCAGAAGCGGATTCCACGATAATCTATAACAGAATGCAACAAAGCAACCAGATTAAGCTAGGAAACGGCCTTAAACGGGGAGCACAGCATTCCTACTTGGGTCTGTGCAGGGGGCCAAAGTGAAAGCTAGACTGGCTGGGCCCTCCAGTTGGGGATCCTGCGGCGGTGGTGGGAATGCCGACGCCGGAGTCACCCTCCAGACGCTGGATCAGCAGCTGCTGCTCGTCCTGCTGCTCCATGTTGATGTCGGCAAAGAGCAGGGTCGTCTCCCAGTTCTGCGGCGGCGAGCCGACGAAATAGCAACGGGCTCGCCCATCCGACAGATGGCGGAACTGGGCGTTGGTGGGCACCATCGAGGAGAGGGTGGAGAGCTTCTTGCGCATCTCCTGAACGATGATCTTGATTTCTGCCCAGCTCTTGGATGGTGTGGGCGCTGCAATGTGTCCATCGTTGTCCACGGCGTCGTCTTCGTCCTCCTCGCAATCGTCGCAGTCCTCGTCATCATCCCCGCCCAGGCCATGGGGTGGCGTGCCGCTGGTGGGGGAGCTCAGGTGATTGGTGATCACTGAGGCGGCAGCCACAACCGCTTCGGTTGTGGTCGCGGTGGCAGCCGCAGCGGCCGCTTGTATCGGCGATGTTATGGAATTGAGGGCACTGCCGATCGAGGAGTAGAGGGCATTCGCCGTCGTGCCCAGCGATCCCATGCTGGTGAGACTGGCTATGGAATGCGTCGATCCCGGAGTGCTGGCCGCACTCTGGCTGCTCATCAGGCTCATCGAGCTGGTCCCGCCTGCCACACTAACGGCCGTGGAGACGCGGGACGTGAACCCGTCCAGGAGATTCACAAAGGAGGTGGCAGCGGCATTCGTTATGCTGTGGCTCCGGTGGTGTCCACTGTTGTTGTTGTTCCTGCCGTGCGGCTGCTGCTGCTGCTGGTGTGGCAAAGGATCTGATTCAATGCCCATTAGGGTGTTTGTGCTGTTGGCGTTGGGTCCGCCGCCGAGATTCACATTCAACGGTGGACTCGGGGACGAGGCCAGACGATTGCGTTGCTGTTGCGCTGACTGGGCTCTACTCCCAGTGCTCTCCATCCCCTCACCGCTCACTGGCTCTTGTCCGGCTGCTCTCGCTCTCTAGTGCTGCAATTCCGCAATTCCAAAAATTGACCCAATTTAAGCAGCTCTGCTCCAATCCAACCACGTACACACACCACACACCACAAACCGAAATGCTGGCGGCCCTCTTCTGATTTTTGAAATTCTTACTCACGCACTCACACACATACACACACTCACAGAACACACGAGCACATTAACACTCACACACTCCCACAGACACCGAACGCTCCTCACACGCTGGCTTGCCTGCTCTGGCTGGCCTGGCCCGCTGATGGTTTGTTGTTAACTGCAGCACTGCAGCCGAATCTGGGCTCGTATCGAATCAGTTTACTTATTCTTATATTCTTAACTGGATCGAATAGCTTTTGTTGGCCAGTCGTTGTCTCGTCTGGTATTTCCCACACTCATGCTGGCTCGGCTTTTTCTTCTTCCTTTCTTTTTCTGTCTTGTCTCTGTGCTCTGCTCTTCGTCGGATGTATATTGTTGCTGTTTTTTTATATCTTCTCTTTTGCAAAAAGGAAAAAGTGAAAGTCGCACCGTGCGACGGTGACTCTACGACGAACTCACGCGCTGGCGTTCAGCTTTCTGATTGGATGCACCGAGTGAAATATGTTGGCTAATTGAAGTAGTTATAGTTTGGTTTTTATTAGTTTGCTGCGCTGCCTAGGTAAAATTAAAACAATACAATGAATGAAAGATACGATATTAAATTCCGATGGAATTTTTTCAAATTTCAATGTGGCCACACTCAGGTATTGTATCGATATGTTCGATACCGCGATAGTTTCAAAGGAAACCCAACGCAACGCAACGTCTTTTCAATGCTGTAAAAATATGTTATTCGTTGCGAATAGTAAACGAATCAAATGTAAAGTTTTCTAATTCATTGGTGATGCCAAAAATGCATTTGTCAATCCGACTCGTAGGGCTGCCAGTGTGTTCTAGCCAGAGACGCCTGCAAGGAGATTATTTTAGTAGTGGTCCGTAATTTACCGCTATTTCCCCATACATTGCCTCAAACGCTGTTTCATAGCCCTGGATTTGGCCCGTGACCGTATTGTGTGGGGTGTTTAAACACCAACCACGCACGCCTAGCTTCTCGGCCCTCCGCATCGTATACTGCAGTGAAATAAAAGGAATTTATTGTGATTGGCATTGGCATTGACAGGAATCTTACCATTCGAAATGAAACGCCTGCAAAAGAACTGAATTTAGTTGCGGATGTGTTAGATTTAGCTCACCCTTACCTTGCACAATACCAAATATTTCAAATTGACAATCCAATATCTTTTGAACCTGCGGTGTGGACGGTTTAGTCGGTTCCGGTTTCAGTTTCTCCTGTGGCGTAGTTTGTGTGTCCACATTCTTCGTCGATGCTGGTTCTTCCACAGCTTTCTTTTTGCTTTTCAAATTGGTTTGAGTTTCCTTTTCATTCATTTTCATGAATGTTTTATACAAAATTATGCTTTGCTCCCGTGTCTACTATTCGTTACGCCTACTGACAGATATAGCGGGTCCGTCCCCGATCTGAAAGAACTAGAGATGCGCCTTTTGTGTTGTTATAAATAAAAGTACTGCTGTTGTTGTTGTTGACGAACCGAATAAGTCTTTCCCGGGCCGCAAACAACTAAAAAATATTCAAAATTCAGAAATATATCCGTCAAAAACAGAAGACATTTATCGATATTAAAACATTTCATTCCACAGCCCTGGTCCCGTCCCTGACAAACGTACTGAAGCAAACAAATAATTTTGCACAAGTAAAGGAAAAAGAAAACCATGCATACAGTTTACGCACTGCTTAAGAACAAATTGAGCGATGTGCATCCTTTGCACAACATCGATTTGGACCAGAACGTGGCCTACCTGAAGACAATCATCACAAAGGAGCTGCAGCTGCAGTTTGATGCCAGCGAATTGGGTGAGTGACCGATTTGTGCGCCTTGCGCATCGCACCGCCATTTCGTTTGTGCACACTCATCAACTACGCACTTGCAGAGATCTGCCATCATGGCCAAGTGCTCGACGATGTGGAGACGCTGAACAAGGCCATCAAACCGAATGCCGTAATCCACTGCTTCCGAAAAACCAAGCGTTACACGCCGTATGTGCCGCCAGCGTCGTCCGAGATAAACACGAAGCACATACAGGAGCTCTTCTCCTTGACCTCGCACCTGCAGGTCAGTGTCAGCTGTAGGTTCAACATTCTCCAAACGATCCTGGCCGAGTATCCGGAATTTCGTCGCAACCTGGGTGCACAGGCCCTGATTCGCGACTCTGTGCTGTTCAATATGCTGCACGAGCCGGAGGTGGTGCAGAATCTGGTGCGCGACTATCCACTGATCTGCGACGCGGCCCCCTTCATTGTGGAAACCATACGCAAGGAGCTGGCCCGCAACAGCTCTGCCACCCAGTGTAAGCCAAGCCCTCTACTCTGCCCTTTTCGGACTAATAAACTCACCCTTCAATGTTCGCAGTTCAAGAGCAGGCAGCCTCGGAGTCTACCACCTCGTCGGAGGAGGAGAACTCCCTTGGAGCCGGAAGCAGCAGCAGCGGCAGCAGTGGAACGGTAGCCGCCGCCGCCAATCGTCGCGATGAGCTGGCCAATATCCGACAGATCAGCCGCCAGCAGCTGGCCAATGCTCTAGCCAATGTAACCTCATTCAATTCGCTGTCAAACATTGCCCAGCGGAACGCGGATGAAGCCCAGCAGGGGGATGAGAGGCCACGCACCACCTCGGCCCCCATTGCCGGGAGCAGTAATAGCAGTGCTCCAGCAGGAGCTAGTGGCAGCAGCTCAATATCCTCGGAGCTGTTTCGCAATGAGCTGGCCAGGGCTTTTCAGTCTTTGGCTCAGCAGCCAGCCGAGAGCATGGAAGTAGAACCCTCAGCAGGCGCCGAGGCATCAGCCGACGATGTGGACGACGACGACGATGTGGCTGGTGGAGACGACAGCGATGTCCTGCCACGGTGCTATCGCCGACACCGCTTCACCGAGCAGCTACGCACCATGGCCGCCATGGGCTTCATCAATCACACACAGAACGTCAACTATCTGACCATGGCCGATGGCAACGTGGAGCATGCCATCAATCTGCTGATGCTCGGTATGAATTGAGTCTAAGAAACAACTTCTGTGTATGGTATACCTTATGGACTTATATATATTTATTCTGGTATTTCTGCTGCTGCTTCGATTATGTCAAAGAAATACATTTAGGCGTTTAGCATTAGCTTTCTTTGATTTGATTTATCGCCCCCGCTCCTCCCCCACTCATCACTGTAAGCTGCTGCGCACTCTCAATATCTCAAGAGAACTTGTAATCATTAAACAAAAACCACACAAAATTTAACAGAGACTGGAGCCAGGCGGGTTGCCATAGGGAGCTTGGCGTTCGAGCTTGTAATTTATCTAGTTGATTAAATAGTCCAGCGCCTTGTCCTTGTTGTTGTCGAACTTTAGAAGCGCCGCCGAGATTTTCGTTTCGTCGAAGCCGAGATCCATTAGCTCTCCCAGGGGAATTAGGTGTTCGATTATCTGCGAAGGAGTCAAGGAGATTGGTGTTAGATTAGAGGAGGAATAAACTACTCAAGATCGCCGCACCTTCTTGTCGTCGATGCCACACAGACTGACAACCTTGGCTACACGCTCCAGGGGAAATCCCATGCCGCTAATGCGTTTCACTAGCTTCTGGGCCGGCCCAGCCAGCTCTCCAAAGGTGTGCTTCTTTTCCGTCTGCTCCACTCGCTGCTGCTGCTGCTCCTCATTGTGACTGTGTAGGCGAGTGCGGCGTTTCTCCGCCTGCTGCAGCTCTGTTTTCAGCTCCCGCAGGATGTCGGGAACACTCTTCGACTTGGTGGCCGCCTCTGCCTCCGCCTGGCTCAGAGCCAGGACAGATGGCGACGGCATCACATGATTGGGCGTGCCAAAGCCATTAGCATAATAGTTATTCTGATTGTGGTAGAGCGGCTGCTGCTGCGCCTGCTGCTGTTGGGGATAGTTGTAGGGATGGCTGTAGCCTTGCATATGGTAGACCTGAAATGACAATACACAAGACACGATACAGTCTGTGTGTGCCACACGGTAAAGGTAGTTTTTTGTACCTGGAAGTGCTCCTGCTTTTGATGCTGCTGTGGCTGAGACTGCGTTTGCTGCTGCTGCTGGGAAACGCCATAAAGAGGTGTCTGATGGAGGGGCGTGATTACAGTTTGCGCCTGGCCACGGCCACTGGCTGGAATGTTGCTATCTTCATGCTTGTAGGCATTGTCATCATCACAGTGAACATGGAAATTGACGCTGTCGAGCGTCGCTTTGGTTTCCGCCAACGTCGTTACAGTCAGCTCCACAGGAGTTGGCATCATTTTCTGCTCTTGATCCTGCTCCTCCTCCTCCAGATCCTGCTCCCCCTTTTCAACCTGTTCCTCTTGCAGCTGGAGCTGGCGTTGCTCCTTCTGCTCTTGCAGCTTGGTCTGATGAAGCACCTGAGCGAGGACATCCAAATCGTTGATGGTCTTCAATTCAATATTATCAAAGGGCGTCGAGTTCATGTTGTACTCGAAGTCGGCATAGTTTAGCGAGCTGTTGCGCTTGTGCAGAGTCTGCGTGATGGCCACTGGCGCCGTGCTCAGGATAGTCGGCTGTAAAATGTTGTGGAAATTGCACAAGATTATTGACTTTGGTTCGTGGGAGTCGCGGCCGTGTGACTCAGATTGATGCACCGCTGGCTGGTGTTGCTGCTGCGGCGGCTGTTGCTCGTTTTCTTCCTCCACCTCCACCTTCTCCTCGTCATCGGAGGATGACAAATCGGCGGCACTGGGGTAATCGACAGCTCCCAGCATTTCCTTCTGCTTGGCCTCCACCTCGCGCTGACGCTCCACCTTGCGTCGCTCCTGGCGCTTCTCACGGTCCTGCCTCTGCTGCTGCCGTAGCTGATGCCAACGGTGTGCCTTGCCCAGGACAGCGCGCTCGAGTTGAAAGTCATATTGGTAGTCAGGCTGATCTTCGTAGAAGTTTTCTTTGTATTGCCCCAATCGGTTCACAGTCGTCTGTGGCAACTGGTAGACGGGTGGCGGAGGTTTATAGCGTTCAACTATCTTGACCGGGACATCGTCCATGTTATGTTAACGCATTTACAGCGAATTTTGTTAATTTAATGAGCCAACTTCCCTTCTACGCGTTTTTTTTTCCTTTTTTCTTTTGTTGTTGCACAAACCAACAGCGATGGCAGATTGTCAGTCATCGGTTTGCAAATTTTCCATCGATAGTTTTCATCTATCGACTTCATGCAAAATATATGGTTTAAATTGTGGGGAAAGGCAGCCTAGTATAGTCGGACCGAGTTTACTGTTTACTTTACGTGTGTAATATTGTGGTTTATCTTTAAATGCTTATTATTCATTTTCTAGATTTCAAAATTCTACTCTTTCATGAAACGATATATCAATGGTCGAAGAAAACAAAACCATCGATCAATAAGATATCGATACTATCAAAAGTTCCATGGATGGTTTTGCAGCCCTACTAACAGTTGCAGTGGAAAAAAATACATACGAGTAATGGGCACCAAGCAATATAGATCTTCGAATCGGAACTCAGCCGGGAAAGAAGCTCAGATAGTGGGCTTGCTCATTCCTAAAGGTGAGAGTAGACAACTTTACACACTTTAAATTTACACAATTTTTTTCAAACAGTTGGCTCCAAAAGGCAGTCGACTTGTTCTTTTCCACATCCAATGTGGGAAAAGGGGAAGGTTTGTTGTTAATTAAAATTTATATTTATTATTAATAATGCAATTGTTGTCCATCTACAGCGCGCGGGCTTTTACATGCGCCCATTTCCGTATGTTCCGCAGGCGAAACTTACCCGCGTGCGTGGAAATCCTCGCCATGACCAAGCCCACGCTGTAAGGCGCTGTGAGCAGCAGGAGCAACAGCATCTCACATCCATACGATCACATCTAACCGATCATATCTACGCGAGTATGAACAAACCAGTGGACGGGAGAAGCAGCAGGAACTCGTTGACTTCAGAGGAGGACGAAGATCTTGCTGAGTGTATTGACGAGGAGCAGGAGGAACAGCAGATAATAAATGCCATGAATGATGCCATGAATGATCATGCCAAAGTCGAACAGCAACAGCGGCAATACGTCCAGTATCTGCGACAACAGATGGCTGCCAAAAAGAATCGGCTCCATCAGCATGACCAAACCCACGCTGTAAGGCGCTGTAAGCAGCAGGAGCAACAGCATCTCACATTCGTACGATCATATCTAACCGATCATATCTACGCGAGTATGAACAAACCAGTGGACGGGAGAAGCAGCAGGAACTCGTTGACTTCGGAGGAGGACGAAGATCTTGCTGAGTGTATTGACGAGGAGCAGGAGGAACAGCAGATGATAAATGCCATGAATGATGCCATGAATGATCATGCCAAAGTCGAACAGCAACAGCGGCAATACGTCCAGTATCTGCGACAACAGATGGCTGCCAAAAAGAATCGGCTCCATCAGCATGACCAAACCCACGCTGTAAGGCGCTGTGAGCAGCAGGAGCAACAGCATCTCACATCCGTACGATCACATCTAACCGATCATATCTACGCGAGTATGAACAAACCAGTGGACGGGAGAAGCAGCAGGAACTCGTTGACTTCAGAGGAGGACGAAGATCTTGCTGAGTGTATTGACGAGGAGCAGGAGGAACAGCAGATAATAAATGCCATGAATGATGCCCTGAATGATCATGTCAAAGTCGAACAACAACAGAGGCAGTACGTCCAGTATCTGCGAAAACAGATGGCTGCCAAAAAGAATCGGCTCCATCAGCATGATGCTTCGGATGCACCGCAAGAGAAGAGAAGCAACAACTGCAGCAATTCTCCCACGGCCTGCAAAACGCACATTTGCATCAGCGGCAGCTGAACGGGGGCGGCCAACAACAATGTGATCCAAGATCCGATTGCGCCTCACGAACAGAGAAAATAGGGTTTCAACAGTGTCGCTATTGGGAAAATAAAATTGTATTCCCATTTTAAGTTCTGGCGCTGCTTGTTCCGATAGATCTGCATGTATCGATATTATGCATTTACTAATTTATAGTAGTTCTTGATATTTTTAGAGTTCGTTTGCTATGAAGTTTTACAATTGTTATTTTAAACAGATATGGCTGTTTAATTTACACATATACAAATAAAGTAAATATTGTCTTTGTCTTGGTCAATACCGAGGTCGAAAGGGTTTTGTCACAGGTCAACATTGTTAATACCAAGCTAAGGAATATGATGGACATAGCTATACCAAGCAACATATAAACAATATCACGTTGATTTTATTTACAGATTTGGTTTAAAATTGGTACAATGGTTGCCTATATATGCCTGTTATATTCTTTTACCTGAAAACGGCTAGTTATCTCTAAAGTGGCCAGCACTTTTTACTTCCACCACTAACCATACAGTATATGATGTGCCAGTTCATACAACGAGGGGCGCAGCTAAGTTTGCAGCGTACGTTCCCCACTCGGCTTTGGATGGCCGCGTTCGGCTCTGGGGGCCGCGTTCGGCTCATGACGTCACACGAGCCGACTGGCACAAGCAGCAGCGTTGTGTACGGTACACTCCAAAATGAGCATAGAATAATTTTTAGCTGCCGAAACCGACTGTTCGATTTCAGTTACGTAAACGGGTGGCATGTATTCACACATACGGTGGGTGGGCCTACAATTTTGGGTGGGAAATAAATACAGTATATAAAAATAAAGGAGTTATCTCTGTCATACTCCTAAACTAAAATTACTTGAAAATTAGATTCGCTAAAGCTTGGAAAGTCTACTAGATGTGTACATTTATTTTATTCAAAGCGTTCATAAAATATTTTTATACCCGTACTCAAAAAGAGTAGGGATATTAGATTGTGGTAAAAGTGGATCTAGACTATAAGGCTAGGGCAACCAAATTTTGTTTCCAACTCATGTGTACCCACTGCTACAAATGTATTTAAAATTTGACCCGCCCCTCCGCCCCCATAAGACGAAACTGTGCCAGGCACATTTTTAGATACGATACTAAACGCATTATCGTAAGATGACATATATACACTGCCGACTAACAGATCGGATCATAATTATAGTCAGAATGGAATTAATTTTCAGAGCTTCCCTGCCCACCCTTTCAACGACAACTCAACTCATTTTCCGTCTCGCTCGCACACTTGCTGCGTTCAGTCACTATAATTTAGTTACGACGGGAAGGCAGGGATTAGCAGTGCCTAGGGCCCACTGGGTAACAGAAAGTGTTGCAGTCCAAATAATGTATGCCACTGAGTCAAATAAAGGGGGCCAGATGATGGTGCCAGGGCCGGGGGGACGGCCCGATAGGCGCTACTCACACAGCCCTCAAACAAATGAACCAATCAAGCGGCAAACAATTGTAGGCCCACACACACCATGTGTGAATCATGCCCCGTTCGTGCCGACAAAGCGGTTGGAGCTTTTCTATGCATCAACTTTTTGGGTGTCACGTACACAACACAGCAGCTTGTGCCAGCGGCTCGTGTGACGCATGAGCCCAACGCGGCCATCCCAGCCAAAGCTGGCGACGCACCAGCTGCGCCCCTTTGTTGTATGACTGGCACACTACGTAGGTAGGCTTCCACCCACAGATCGTCCCATCATTAATCGATAGTTCGCACTTGCACCATCCCTATTTCACAATTTGCAATATAAACAAAAAGAGCAATGTGCGTGCCATGGATGTCGAGAACCAGGTAAATCTGAACCCCAATCAATTGCTGGCTGAGATCACATCGCTGCTGGAAGCCACCTCAGAGCCAAGCGAGTCCAATGCCCTGGTGCTTAACCATGAGCTGCAGCGACGCTTGCAACAAGTACGTGCAAAGTCTCTGGCGCTGTTGAAATCTGTGCGGGCTCGATATGCACGGAACGAGGAGATTTTAATACGCCGCCTAAAGCCGCGCACCCACAGTCATAGCAGGCCTGTTAAGGAAAGCACTGCAACATATGGAATATGTGGAGCGATCCGCCGTGGAGCCACCTTCCACTTCAAGGGAAATTTGTATTTTCGCGACATTGATGGCCGCAGCTGTCCGAATAATGGGGACTACGAGGCGCGGAGCCACACAGAGATGTTTCCCTCGGACTTCGATATGCGCTCCAAGCATGTGTGGACTGTTTTGGACAAGAAGAACCTGATAATGGGCATCAAGCAACAGGTGAGTCTCTGCCCGAAAGAACGCCATCTTTGAGAAACTTTCACAGACCAATTGATCTCCCCACGGACAGCTGCTGGACCATGCGGCCTGTGAAAAGGCCACAGTTTCCTACAAGCGAAAACCCATCGAGCGACATGTTCGCTCTCTGGCCAGTCTGCTGGTCAACGCCGACAGCAGTTTTAGTATCGACTGGACCCAGATCAGTACTCTGGACCTGGAGTTCCGTCATTCTACCTACAGCTGCGAGGCAATGTGGCGCGTTTATCTAAATCCGCAGCTGAGCCGTGAGGACTGGAGTGCGTCGGAGGATGCAGTTCTGGTGGCGGCGGCCAAAGCGAATCACATGCAGAACTGGGAGAAGATAGCTTCGGCATTGGATCGGCGATCAGACTACCAGTGTTTCGTGCGTGTTCAGTTGGCGTTCCGTCACCACCTGGAGCCATCCTCCAGTGTACGATGGACCGAGAAGGACAACGAGTCCCTAAAGCGTCTCGTAGAAAATAATACTGTGAATGGCCAGATCAATTGGCAGCTGGTGTCGGAACACTTTCCTGGCAGATCCAAGTCCACTCTGATCGGACGCTATACGTATGCGCTGCATCCAAGCATCAGCCATGGTGAGCACTATGGAATGGACTTGCTTCCCCCAACGTTTCTCCAATTATACATCTTCGGCCTATTTTAATTACAGCACCCTTCAGCACCACGGAGGACATTATGCTCTTTGCTGCCGTGGAGGAGTACAATGGGAAGTTCCACAGCTTTCCCCGCACTCTGTTTCCCAACCGCTCGCTGGCACAGCTCCGTACCCGATACCACAATGTCCTCGCCCAACGCACCAAGACCGATCCGTGGTCGGTGCTGGACGATACCAAACTGATGAATTTTGTCACGGAGCACGGGGCAGCCCAGTGGGTGAACTGTGCTGCGCATCTTGGGAATCACACGCGGACCAGTTGCAGGACGCGCTTCTTGGTAATAAAACGCTTCCTTGAGCAGCATCCCTCGGCAACGGTCGGCGATTTTCCGCGTCGAAGGTGTTTTAAAAACAATATCGTCACGGCTGACAATTGGGCGGAGTGTCTGGAAGTGTGGCAGCAGGATCCGGACTCCATCGATCCATCGAAGCATCAAATGCGTCCACTGGGAGCAGGAGAGAGAAGGAGATCCAACATAAAGGGCGAGGCCAGCGAAAGCGATGGCCATGTGGCATATCCAAAAGAAATAGATCTGCAGGTCTATGAGTATTTCAAGTACAGCTACGATCTCCAGCTGAGATCATCCCCGTCATCGAAACTCTTTTCAATGCCTGATGCCAAAGACGCTTCGAATCTCGCCTACGTGGTCAAGGCCTTAAACTATAAGCCACCAGCGGGAAAGAACCTCAAGCCCATTCAGAGCGTTTCAATGCCCCTGCAATTGAGTATGCACTACAACCAACTGCTGAAGAAGCTGCCAAAGAAGAAAGAAAAAAAGCCAGCCCAGAGCTCGCTACTCCTGCCCCCCAACTGGTCAACGATGATGGGATTCCGTGCCATTTGCATTGTATCGGGCGACAGTCGAAAGCTCTCATCCGCCGAGCCGCCACCCTACGATGAGTCCTCGCAGCACATCCAGCAGTTCCGGCAACGTTTGCGAGCCCTGTTTTATCGCACCACTCTGCTGAGCCGTCTTGAAACACATCTCTTCGATGACTTGCCCTCGCACCTGATGGCCCTACCACGACCTCTGGCAAACCACATAGAACCCGGGACAAGACCAACGAAGGAGGAACTGAGCAGACAAATTGCAGCCAAGCAAATGGAACATGTCAACCGAATGGTAGAGCCACAGAGGAAGAAACCGAAAATGGAGCCACTCAGCGAGGAGGAGATAATGAGCTTCAAAGAGGAAGACGAGTTCTTGCCTTTATAAGTTTGTTGTTTACTATATATTGCATCGCATATTACTCATTATAATAGCTAACAAATATAATATAAAACAACCTTGTAAACTTTTATCGCCTGTTTGAGTGGCTTCTGTGGCGTAGTCAGAAGACCGTTCCTCTGGGCAATGTTTGTTAGTTATTTTAATTTTTTTTTTTTTTAATAATTATAGTCTAAAACGAGAAGGAACGTGTGAGTCGCTTCTGGGGACGCGACTCTACTTATACCCGTACTCAGTCAGTATATACATTTTTGAGCTTATGATTTTTAAGAATTTTAGAAAAAGAAAAAAATTTTAAATTTTACATTTTTTTGCTACATATGATATCTACATCTACATATACAATGTATATTCTACATCTAACATGTAGATTTTACATGTTCCAATTAGATTCTACATCTCCTCCGCTAGGGGTTGCTCGCGCACTGAACGCGGCAGAATGTGCGAGCGAGAAGGAAAATGAGATGCGTTGTCGTCGGCGGGAGGGGGAGGGGAAGCAACTGAAAATTAATTTCTTCATTCTGGCTATAATTATGATCCGATCTGATTCAGATTCGGCAATCTGGTAGATATGGGCATTCTTCAAAAATTTTCCAATTGGTTCATTGTCTTGTCTGTTTTCTGAAAATTCATACTCATCAGAAAGATCTGCATTAAATGGAGTTAATAACGTATTCTCAGACAAGTTTAATGTAGGAATTGCATTCGACTTTAATCGACGCTTTCCTATATACTTAACATCAAAATGCCGTTCACAAATTCGTGTATTTTTGTTAACCAAACTGCTATCCAAACTGCAAACCTCAACCCATTTATTAAACCTCAATGTATTCGATGGAAATAAGAATAATTTTACAGGAAAATCGGCAGAACTATTTCTATATCCACAAAGGCAGGAAGAAATAATGCATTTATAGCCACCCCTGCGGTTGTCTTTTTGATTAGCAGACGACATGCTCAACAATAAGAAGGAAAAAATTGGACCACAAAATAATGAATATAACAATATAATGGTTAAGTTAATAATAATGATAATTATATATAAAATAGAGATAATACAAATATATATTAGCAAAGAAAATGATTCAGCAGCAGCGGACAGACAACAAGCACACACGCATTCACTCCACGCACAAAAAAAACTTTCAGAAAAGGAAAAAGAGACTTGACACCCAAAATCACAATTTTTTGCATAAGCAGGTCTACTACCATATGCAGCCTATACCACAAGCACTCAATCACACTCAGATATCAAAAAATAATTAAAAAGTCAATAGTTTACGTGTTATGAAATAAATTGTAGGAAAAGCTACCAACCAGCGGAAAACTCAGCTCACTTTTGTCTTTCTCACCAGATTCGCCCGCGCTTTGGTCTACCAAGCACACACACATACATCCCCATGCATCCCCATACATCCAAATACATCCCCATCCATACACACCATGCAATTGCGCGCTCTTTGGGTTACCATCCAACACCAAGCCAACTGTAATTTTGAATACCACCATACCCCCATATTTCATAATTTCATATTCATTCATATATGTAAATACATATATAAAATTATTTTAGTTCAAATCACTTGTTTTGTAAAATCTAAGAAACATAAACTTATTCAAAATAGTTGATAGTACGGCAGCAACGAAGTCAATTGCCGACGGCATTTATATATGTACATTTATTGACAAAGTTGCAAAATCGAAAGCCGACGGCTTTGCACAATATGTAATTTATAAAAGAAACCTGTCTAAATTAGGGATATGTATATGTAAATGTGCAATTTCAAATAAATCAAACAAATAGCATTTTTTATTTTAATATATTGTATTTATTTCCCACCCCCACCCACTCTGCCCATTCCTCAGTTATATTGCGGCAGGTCAGCACAGGTCGCTACATCACATCAGCCCTCAAAACAAAACGAAAAACGAATTCAAACGGCCAAAAATTTTAGAGCCCACACACAAGCACAGTATGTGTGAATACATGGCACACACACGTTTACGACAGAATCGCCAACAAAATATGAAGTCTGACGACGGGAATAGGTCCAGGGCCGGATTAGCAGTTGCCGAGGGCCCCCCTAGGGCTAACAGAAAAATTTTGTTGAAAAAACAAAACTCCAAATAATGAATAAAATATATAATAGCCACTGAAAAAACTAAAAAATAAAAGAGGGCCCCAGATTGATGGTTGCCCAGGGCCCGGTTGGGGGTTGATGCGGCCCTGAATAGGTCGCTACATCACATCAGCCCTCAAAACAGAACGAAAAACGAATTCAAGCGGCCAACAATTGTAGAGCCCACACACAAGCACAGTATGTGTGAATACATGGCACACACACGTTTACGTAAACTGAAATCTCGAACAAAGTCGGTTTCGGCAGCTAAAAATTATTCTATGCATACAATCATATATTTTGGAGTGTACACGTACACAACACATGCATGCTTGCTGCCAGTCGGCTCGTGTGACGTCATGAGCCCAACGCGGCCATTCCCAGAGCCGAACGCGGCCATTCCCAAAGCCGAAGATCTGGGAACGTTCACTGCAAGCTCAGCTGCGACCGTTTCGTTGTATGAACTGGCACATCTATATACTGTATGGTTAGTGCCCGTACTCAGTCAGTATATACATTTTTGAGCTTATGATTTTTAAGAATTTTAGAAAAAGAAAAAAATTTTAAATTTTACATTTTTTTGCTACATATGATATCTACATCTACATATACAATGTATATTCTACATCTAACATGTAGATTTTACATGTTCCAATTAGATTCTACATCTCCTCCGCTAGGGGTTGCTCGCGCACTGAACGCGGCAGAATGTGCGAGCGAGAAGGAAAATGAGATGCGTTGTCGTCGGCGGGAGGGGGAGGGGAAGCAACTGAAAATTAATTTCTTCATTCTGGCTATAATTATGATCCGATCTGATTCAGATTCGGCAATCTGGTAGATATGGGCATTTTCTACGATACTGCGTTTTTAGTTTTATCGTATCTTTAAAACTGTGCCTGCCACAGATTTTCGTCCTTTGTGTGGGCGGAAGGGGGCGGGGCGAAATTTTGAAATACATTTGTAGCAGTGTGATATCACATGAGTCTGGAAACCAAATTTGGTTTCTCTAGCTCTTATAGCCTCTGAGATCCAGACGCTCATCAAGACGGACGGACGGACAGACGGACAGACGGACATGGCTATATAGACTCGGCTATTGATGCTGATCAAGAATATATATACTTTATGGGGTCGGAAACGTTTCCTTCTCTGCGTTGCACACATCCACTTTTACCACAAATCTAATATACCCCTTAACTCTAAACTCCCCGTACTCAACTACGGGTATAAAAAAACCTCACAAAAATTATAATTTGTGCATTCAAAAGCGTTATATTTCTCAGCCGGTAAGATGACGCTGCGACATGTTCAGATCCACTATATAGCTGCATTTATCAGATTTTCAGAATGGTGTACAACATTACAACCAGATGTAAAATACTAAATACTATGTGAAAAGAAGTGCTACCTCTGGAAAAAAGCTATGAAAAATACCTTTGTTTTTTAAATTAAAAATAAAACGTTCTACCATAGAAAATAATAATTCTTTAATAAAATGTAAGTCCCAAATCTCACAGAAAAACTCGGTTTGGTTCGAACGTAAATAAAAAGTTATGTTTTGTTTATTAGTCGCTCGAAACAACAAATAATTAATTAATTACTGCGTGTTCTGAATGTACGTTCATACATATATATGTATGTACATAGGTACCCATGGTATATATGTATATCTGGCGATTGTTGTTAAATGGACACACTAAAATTCACACACGGAGTCATATTCCAGTTGGATTTTTCAATTCAGATTCAACGTGTAACAGAAATTTATTGACTTTGTTTTAGTTAATATTATTTTGTTTTTTTTATACAGACAACATCAATTAGGAGTATCATTTTGGGGTCTCGCATAGGGTACATCAACAATGAGGAGTAATATTAAGAGTAAACAAACTACATACAAACATAGCTACGTAAATGAAAGCGCCATGCGAAGAAGTTATTCCTTATCTGATCCCTACCGTTAGGTATATTTGTGAATAAAAAATTCCTGCTCTGCTAAATGCACAATGAGTAAATAAATAAAAGTCTTAACCAAGATATTGTCTTATTTAAGCTCGTAGTTGGCCGGCTTACAAGCCCTTGTTGTACCACACGGTGTCTAGCTCGGGACGTTTCTTCTCAATGTTTTCGCGCACCTCGGTTTCCAGGCTTGCCACCTTGATGGCAGCCCGCTGCTTGAAGAACGCACAGCCCAGGGGTGTGGCAAAGATGAGCACGAACCCGCAGAACAGAGTTTGAATTGGAGCATTCGATTTCGGGTATTTGGCTAGGAACCCTTTCCTCTCAAGTACGTTCATGAGCATCGGAGTCAACGCTGGAATATAATTAGATTGTTATTCCTTACCACTAATACTTGAGGGTGGACTGGACTTACTCATTCCTGGAAGGGCCATGCAAATTCGACTAACTATCACCGCCGATATGCCGACACAAGCGGCCTTCTGGGACACGCCCACCTCGGCGTTCTCTCATCTAGCAACACGACCCCATTGCGAATCTCCCTGAAAGTATTTCGAGTGCATTACTACGTCCATTTGTGTCAGGGATCTACTTACTGCATTCGCATGCAGGGAATGTTGATGCAGTTGGCGGCTGCCACAGCCACGAGAGGCACCATGCGACCCACCAGTGGATTCATGTTCTTCACGGCCCGGTTGAGAGAGAGCGCCGTGGCCAGTGCTCCGCCAGTGGCCAGGCAGTACGAGGTCAATAGTTGCCTGTTGAAAGGGGGAGGTGAGCATGCTCAGTATGTGGAATCATAGTCACGGATGGGGCACCTACGAGTTGCTAAGGGGCGAAGTGCCCGAGCGGTTTGTGTAGTTGACGGACGGACAGACGGACAGACGGACATGGCTATATAGACTCGGCTATTGATGCTGATCAAGAATATATATACTTTATGGGGTCGGAAACGTTTCCTTCTCTGCGTTGCACACATCCACTTTTACCACAAATCTAATATACCCCTTAACTCTAAACTCCCCGTACTCAACTACGGGTATAAAAAAACCTCACAAAAATTATAATTTGTGCATTCAAAAGCGTTATATTTCTCAGCCGGTAAGATGACGCTGCGACATGTTCAGATCCACTATATAGCTGCATTTATCAGATTTTCAGAATGGTGTACAACATTACAACCAGATGTAAAATACTAAATACTATGTGAAAAGAAGTGCTACCTCTGGAAAAAAGCTATGAAAAATACCTTTGTTTTTTAAATTAAAAATAAAACGTTCTACCATAGAAAATAATAATTCTTTAATAAAATGTAAGTCCCAAATCTCACAGAAAAACTCGGTTTGGTTCGAACGTAAATAAAAAGTTATGTTTTGTTTATTAGTCGCTCGAAACAACAAATAATTAATTAATTACTGCGTGTTCTGAATGTACGTTCATACATATATATGTATGTACATAGGTACCCATGGTATATATGTATATCTGGCGATTGTTGTTAAATGGACACACTAAAATTCACACACGGAGTCATATTCCAGTTGGATTTTTCAATTCAGATTCAACGTGTAACAGAAATTTATTGACTTTGTTTTAGTTAATATTATTTTGTTTTTTTTATACAGACAACATCAATTCAGGAGTATCATTTTGGGGTCTCGCATAGGGTACATCAACAATGAGGAGTAATATTAAGAGTAAACAAACTACATACAAACATAGCTACGTAAATGAAAGCGCCATGCGAAGAAGTTATTCCTTATCTGATCCCTACCGTTAGGTATATTTGTGAATAAAAAATTCCTGCTCTGCTAAATGCACAATGAGTAAATAAATAAAAGTCTTAACCAAGATATTGTCTTATTTAAGCTCGTAGTTGGCCGGCTTACAAGCCCTTGTTGTACCACACGGTGTCTAGCTCGGGACGTTTCTTCTCAATGTTTTCGCGCACCTCGGTTTCCAGGCTTGCCACCTTGATGGCAGCCCGCTGCTTGAAGAACGCACAGCCCAGGGGTGTGGCAAAGATGAGCACGAACCCGCAGAACAGAGTTTGAATTGGAGCATTCGATTTCGGGTATTTGGCTAGGAACCCTTTCCTCTCAAGTACGTTCATGAGCATCGGAGTCAACGCTGGAATATAATTAGAATTGTTATTCCTTACCACTAATACTTGAGGGTGGACTGGACTTACTCATTCCTGGAAGGGCCATGCAAATTCGACTAACTATCACCGCCGATATGCCGACACAAGCGGCCTTCTGGGACACGCCCACCTCGGCGTTCTTCTCATCTAGCAACACGACCCCATTGCGAATCTCCCTGAAAGTATTTCGAGTGCATTACTACGTCCATTTGTGTCAGGGATCTACTTACTGCATTCGCATGCAGGGAATGTTGATGCAGTTGGCGGCTGCCACAGCCACGAGAGGCACCATGCGACCCACCAGTGGATTCATGTTCTTCACGGCCCGGTTGAGAGAGAGCGCCGTGGCCAGTGCTCCGCCAGTGGCCAGGCAGTACGAGGTCAATAGTTGCCTGTTGAAAGGGGGAGGTGAGCATGCTCAGTATGTGGAATCATAGTCACGGATGGGGCACCTACGAGTTGCTAAGGGGCGAAGTGCCCGAGCGGTTTGTGTAGTTGACGATGGCATTGAAGGTTTGATTCATCCACTGCCAGAAGACAACGGCGCCGGTGCTCTTGTAGAAAGCCATCATGCCTAAAAACAGCGATACGCACACCATTAGCACACTACGGGTATTTCACTTTATTAATCAAAGCGCGGAAGCAATTTCTGGAATGGTGCAATTGAATCACAAAGGTTGCTGTCCCTCACTCACCGCCAGTGATGAGCATGTTCATGGGCATTTGAGCCGACATGCGCCCAATTATGATTTGCTTGTCTCCCGTCTCCGGGTGAAAGGCCGAGTCATACAGGTACTTTGCTTTCCACACATCCTCAAGCGTCCGGCACTCGGGCACCTCCTTGCCGGCGCGGTACTTCAGCACGATCTGGCGGGCCTGCTCCAGCTTCGTGTTGGTGGCCAGCACGTTGAGCGGATTGGTGACCAGCAAGAAATGCTTGGCCCTGCCAACATAGGTGCTCTGGTCATATTTGGGCTGATCAATATCAACACGGGGCAGTGGGGTCATTTTCGAAAAGGCTGCGAATTGGTCCCGCCTATTGAGATAAGACAAATTTAATTTAAACGTATCGCGCCCATATGATAAGATATTAAGATTGGATTCGGGATCGGATTTTGGTGGTCTGCCATAACTTAATATTCATTTATTCGAAGGGTCGAAGGGCACAATCACTCGCAACAGTTCTTATCAGAAGCGATGGATGCTTGTGACCCAACGGTTCTGGCCTTATCTCGCTGGTAAACAAGTTTTTGCCGGGGAGCCGTTCGATTCTGTTTTCGAAATACACATGCAGAGACACATACATAGTATGTATGTATATGCATACACACTTTCGCACACGGGTATCTACATCTGTTTCTCTCTACATTTCCACAGTGGAATTCGGTTTGGTTGGGCAGTATGTACTGATATGTATATTGTGATTTTTGAATTTGTTTGTCAGCTGTCAGCACGGTTGCCATCAACCGTTCGATTATGCAGAATACAATCTGTGCGTGAACGTTATATAATTCAACTGGGTCTACGACAACATAATCGACAAATCCATAAGCCTTATCAGTGGGGGCCCAGCCTGCGGTTCGGTCTGGCATGTACACAACACAGCTAGTAGAGAACAGAACAGGTTGCTTGCTTGCTAAATTTACACGCCCGTACGTAGCGTAGCGTTGCCGTATGTGTGTGTGTGTGTGCGTACAAATTGTATAATCTTTCCACCCGACAACACTTACACACGCACGCACAGAACTCAGGGACCGTTGCTACCACTTTGACCGTTGAAAAACGAATGAGAAATGAGAAACGAATGGCTGGCTGGCTGTCTGTCGGCCGCTTGCTTCATCCAGAAAGCTTTTCGTTTAGTTCTTTTCGGGCTTGTGTGTAACGGTTATTTTGGAGCCGACTGTATTTCGGCATCGCTGACATTGAGAACGAACTCTGGAAAAGGGCGAGAGAGCTTTTCTGCGCGACTAGCACATTAACAGCTGGACTTTTAAGCTATCCCAGCTTTTAGACAGCCTGCGCTGGCATTACAGCATATTCACCATTCGCCATTCGCCCACCCACCCTTACCTTACCCCTTCCCATTCCATGTTCAGTAAATAATTATGCTAGAACCGAATGCTTGTGAGCTTTTTTACTGTGAGTATGGAAAGTTCTTTGGACTACATCATTACCCCAAACATTCATTTTTATGTGTTTATATGTACATATGTACATATATGTACATATGTATGATTCAACGAGCAGGTGAGATGGGTCGCAGGTTTCGAACAGAGAGTGGCCCACCTACCCTGCAGGACAGTTAAACTTTTATTTCTATGTCTCCTAATGATGGGAGCTAAACTTCATTTAATTTCTGCAAAGCCCAGACCTAGCAGGAAAGAATCAGGTAGAAATGGCAGTATTACTCTGGAGAAACTCACTTTGCCACTCATCACTCATCTATTTTGATGAGGAAACTTCAATATACTCATAGAATCGACTGGTTCGACTCAATACTCTGGCTGGATACTCTGATCAGCTATAAACATCATGAGGAGAATATATACATACATACATATGTATTACATTGGACGTTAATATGCAATGACGGCACCATCCATTAAGCCCGTTACGCGCGGTTCCTAGGCATAAATGCTTCCCGGCTCAAATAACTGTCCGAATAGTTGAACAGTTGACAGCACGTCTCTCTAAGGAAAAGAGGTGCACGTATCTAGCGGTATTATAACGGGCCCAAGTGAGCCTACTTTGTTTAAGGATGCCAGAGAACGCCAGGCCAGACCTCAACCTAACCTAAGCTAACATTTGGAAGCACTGATCCTTGAACTACATATATCCGCGATTTAAGCAGGGTGAGGGTATTGCCACGTAATTTAGTAAGTACTTGCACCTTTATTCCGTTATCAAAGAACACTTGCGAAGCTTTTGTGTATATTTATGCATTTATTTCCGGAATTCATTGTTAGACTAAACATAACATCAACAGTTTTGTATATTAGCAATAGTTCATAATGTTGTTTATTGTTTTGTTAGTGTACATCCCACGAATAAGTGTGAAGTTTGCTTTTAAACGCGCTTCATAATTAAATTTGATAGGTTCAATATATGTACGTAGTTTTCACAAACAATTATAGTCGTAATTAACACAAATGTCAGATGTAAATATGTAGGCAATATATTTGTATGTGTATTTTGTTGTGTATTATTTTAGTTGTACCTCGTAAATGTAACAATTATTGTACATTGTATACATATACAATATATGTATTTACATATGTGTATGTGTGGCGTGGGTGTTAGTTTTGTCTTTGTAATTAACTCTTAAGTAAACACGATCCTCATGAACATCATTGCATAACTTTGCTAAATACTCGTATATACTCGTAGCACTCCATTTATAGATTGCAATTTGCCTTTAGATACAGTTCAAAGTAACGCGAAATATATAATTGATTTGAGTCTGTCAAGGATATAAGTATGTAGGTAGATATCAAATAATTTGAATAGAACACTGACTGACGTTATACTCGTAGTACTCGTAACGATCTGTTTGCACTAATAATTGAATCGAACTGCTATTTGTTGAAGTTTGTAATCGAAACACCTAACACTGAAACTATTTGAGTTGACTTGTTTCGCTTAGTACTGGAACAACATGTGATGCACGGAGTCAACTGAGAGTGCTGCATGTCCTGCGGAAGCGTACATCACCATTAACTTAACTTATGTACAGCGCGATCGGAATAACTTCTGGCTTGACTGTCTTTGTAGAGAATGGTCGGGAGGAAGAACATTGTAACTGGGCAATGCCCGTAGCAGTATTTGAGGTGTGAATATGTTTACAGTAACGTAGTAGTATACGTAGTAGTATATTTATGTATATGTGGGGAGTTTCAGCCGGCGATTGTTCGTACGTTTTATGGTTGTATCTTAGGTGATCCATCTACTGGTGTATAACTACATATCTTTAGCATGCATGCAAGTCGATTCTGGGAAGTTGGCTTCGGCTTCGATTAATCATTGGATTCAGTTACTTGGGTTCCATTTCGGCTCCTTCATCTGTATATGTATTATATACCTACTAAGCGTTTACATCCTCTATCTGTATCTGTTTCTGTTGCTGTTGCTGTATCTGTATCTTTACTTGTACATTTTGTATATGTATTTATGTAAATATGTATGTTTATGTTTAGGTAGACATGTATATATGTATGTATGTGGGTATGATTGTAACTATGTTTTGAGCGCGTCCTTATAGCAGTACATTGCTCTTTATGCTATATACTCGTATGTATGTATTTATGTATGTATGCATGTAAATATTAATGTATATATATACTTGTATTTGTCTTACACATTGCTTGCAGCTAATTCTGATACTGATTCTTTGTGGTCAGATGGTCAGATCCGTCTGGACTTCCGGCCAGATGCAAAGCAGCTCTGGGCAAAGTGTGTTAAATGCAGCTCGATTTGGCCTGGATCTTCGATCTGGATCTGGACAGTTGTGAGGAAGGCCAAAGTGCACCGAGACTGCCCAAAACTAACGTAAAAGTAATCAGTATTTTCTAAGCTTGAATGTTTCTGCAGTTCTCATGCCAAAGAAGATGGGGTGTCGGAGAACAGTATTTAGCTTCCTTGGATTGATTGCTTGATTGAGAAAATAACTCCATGTTAAATTAATAATTATACACATTGGTTAAACGAGTGCAGCCTGATTTGGTTCTCCATCGATCAATTGAACAAGTATTTGCTATGCCGAAAATTAATTTTATATACTTCATACGTAGTAAATATTGTTTCGATTTATGCACAACAATTTGCACCAAAAATTGACTTTAAATTTTCATTGTTCACTGTTCGTGTTTCAGTATATGTAGGTAGGTATAATGTATTTATTTACTTATGCTCCCGCTCATATTTACATTCGAAAATTGACGCGATTAATTGCCATAAGGTAATCTTTTTTTTTAATTTTTGTTTTTTTTTTTTCTTTCGCTTGACCATCCGTTCTTTGCTATTTGAACTCTCTTTCATAATCAAAACTGTCGCGTGGGTTCTTGAAACGAAGGGGCTATATATTATTTAAATATGTATTATTTAAATATAAAAAATATACATACATACAATTGTGTTGGTTTTTTTTTTCCGTCTTGTATATGAGAACAAAAATAAAATATCCGAAAACGTAAGAAAATTCGTTGCTCTTGTTCCGTGGCGCAGGGACCTGCGCTCCTGGTCTGGATCGACCAGCCCGGAGGCCAAAGGTCTCTACGGGTCCGGCCTTCTCGCGTACATCGATTGCACAAGAAATGATATTGGAGAGAGATCCTCAACGACGAGATGCACTACATAAACTATGTAAACTATCAAAACTAATCGTGATCAACTGTTCAACAAAGCGATGCGATACAAAAGTATATACTCGTATGTACATGCAGATAAATACTTATACGATATAAATATGTATATGTATACATTAAACATACATAATGATCGAAGATACATATGTATGTATGTATGTATAATTAGTTTGATTGTGGTGTGTGAAGTTTGCGTTGTTCTGTTCGACTTGTTCCTTAAAACCGTTTGCAACAAATCTGTTTCCTCTGTTTCCTTTGTTTCCTCTGTCTCCTCTGACTCCTCTGTTTCCTCTGCTTCCTCTGCTTCCTCTGTTGCTTGTTTTAATTGCATTTGTCTCCCTATCTACAGTGCTATTTATCCGGTATGTGTACCTTAATTGTGGTTGTACTCGCGTACATGTATGTATATGGTTTGTTATTTGCCTAAATATCATTAAATATTGTATATATGTATATATATATATTAGTAATAAATATATAATAATATATAATATATATATAATCATCTTTTTGGTTTATCGTTCCTCTCTTCGGTTGGTGCAATGTAAAAATCCATGTAAAACGCGATTTGAGTATTCAATTTGTCCACTAATTAACATTAAATGTACGAGTCGGTTCCTCTTACAATGACGAACTCCACTCCTCCTCCTCCTCCTCCTCCTGTGGTTATGGCGGCTGTGGATGGTGCGGCTGCGGCTATGTATGACTCTCCTCTCCTCTGTATATGAATATGAATACGAATGTGGTGTGGGTGATGCATGCTTCCTTCTATATATGAACTATACGCGAGTATATGGTACTTGGTGCTGGTAGCCTCTTGGTTTGCTTAGAAAGTGCCTGAAAGGGGGGGTGGTAAATTGAGTAATTAAGAGGGAACATATCCGAGGGATGGGGATGGCTATGGATGGATACTCACTGGGACACTCGGGTGGGTTCATGTAGCCGAAGACATTCAATTCATAGAGCGACGCCAGCGTGATGAAGAACAGGTACCAGAGCATCAGAATTATGCCCAGGCGCTTGTCCAGCTTCCAGCCATTCAGGTGCGTCGAGAGGATCAGGAAGACGACGGTAGAGAAGAGCGAGAGCGTGGAGTAGGCGAGACCTGCAATGACGGAAGAGAGGAGCGGGCACTCGAAGATTAGACCGGGCGGCGGGCAGGGGCTGCTGCTACGTCAGCTAGGCTAGAACACTCATGCCAGGCATACCAAACACACATGTTGCATACGACGGGCGGGGGGTAAGGAGACACAAAAGCGAGGGTGGGCAGGGGAAAGGGCAGGGGCAGGGGAGAGTACATGTACATACCCTTGGAGATGACATTCACGTGCGAGCCGGGCTTTATGATGGCCGTTTGTATGAACCATGGAAGACCTAAGCACACTAGGATATCAAAGACATTCGAGCCAATCGCATTCGACACGGCCATGTCGCCGTAGCCCTCTTTGATAACAGCTATTGAGCTTAGAGCATCCGGAACAGAAACGCCAGCAGCCACGAACGTCAATCCCATCACCGTGTCGGGAATGGCCAGCGTGGACCCGATCACGGTGATCATCCACACCATAAAGTACGAGTAGAACGAGATCCAAACCATGGAGAGCAGGAAGGTGAACGGGTACCAGTTGCGGTACTGCTGCTGCCGGCAGTCGGGCATCGTCTTCTTGCACAGGAAGTGGATCGGATACACCACATACCAGGCCACCAGTGTTGGCAGACCGCCCTCCGTGGGTCGCATTAACGGATCGGGGCGTGGCTCGCGCTGCTTGTCCGTCGACTTGTAGTAGTCAGTGCCGGCAGTCGCGGCCACCACTTGCCCCTTGGCCGCGCCAGCACCTGCACCCGTACCCGCGGACGCCGACGCAGCCGCTGCCTCCCCCGTCACAACAGACTCGGGCTGATCAGAGTTGTAGGCCATGTTCTCCTGGCCTAGGCCCTGTCCCTGGCCTTGGCTGAATTGTCCCATGCCCCAGTCGTCGACCGGCGGCTGGGTAGGTCTGGCACTGGCAGCCGCTGGCTTCGGTTGGTTCTCCTCGCCCCAGGCGGAGTTCGGGTCCCAGCTGGCATTGGTGTCGCCGCTGTAGTTCTGATAGTCGCTCTGGGGTTGGGTGCTGGTGGCGTCCACGCCATCGCTGGACTCCTTGGACAGGCTCGTCTGTTGCTGCTGCCCCTGTCCTGCGCTGCCCTGGGTGTAGGAGCTCTCGGGTACATTCTTGTAGGTCACCAGCGCCGACTGCTCCTCCTTGCTGGGCAGCTTAAAAGGCAAGTTGAGGCCGAGCGCCCAGCGCTCCAGCTCCGTGTTGAAGTGGAGGGCCACGCAGTATCCCACGTAGCAGAGCAGCATCACAACGGACTCGAACTGGGGACAAAGTCAAAGTCCAAGTCAAAGCCAAGGATTAGTTGCGGCCCTCGAGCGGCTGTCGAGGCACTTACACAGGAGATGACGTCGTTGAAGATGATGATCAGCATGACCAGGATGGAGACGCAGTAGAAGAAGCAGTCCCGCACCAGTGGCCACCAGTTCAGCTGGCAAACGGTTCCCGAGCACAGTGCACAGACGGATATCACGAACATAATGTTGAACACCGCCGAGCCGATGACTCCGCTGATGCCAATGTCGTCCTTGGCGAAGAACACCCCAATGACCACTGTGGCCAGCTCGGGGGCCGAGCTGCCGGCAGCCATGAACGTGGCCCCAGCCACATCCGGGGATAGCTTAAGCTCTGCAATAAATATTTGGAGTTAGTAAAGCTCAAGCTCCAGTACCGGTCTCGGTTCCGGTCCCTGGCCCGCTCCCGCCTGCAGTGCCTCACCTTCGCACAAACGGTCCAGGCTGGCCACGAAGTACTCGTCGCACACGATGGCCAGGCCAAAGAAGGTGTAGACCGCCACCAGGATGTGCAGAATGAGGCCGCCGTGCTGGCGCGCCCACTTGTTCATCAGGGGCTGGGGGAACTGCTCGATGGCCGGCGGGGTGCAATTGTCGCGCCTGGGACGCCAAGTCGGGACGGCTCCATGCAGGTGGGGGGGAGTGGCCTCGGTGGCGTCCTGTGGTGGCGCCTGTGGATGCAACAAGCGGGTGGAGTAAGCTAGTGAAACGCCTCCGTCAGACCCTACTCACATAGAATGGCGTGGTGGTCTCCAGGTCCAGGTCGAGCTCGGTATTTACTTCTCCGTTAGCTTCTCCATTGCCCTCTTCGTCCAGTGGAAGCGCCGATCCCTCCCTGGAGTCGCCTTTGGCCGAGTAGATGCTGACGCAGTAGTAGATCAGGAAGAGCAGACCCATGTTCCACATTCGGGCGCGACGGGACCGGCGACGTACGATCTGTACGGGGGAGTCGGGGTTACGGATTAGATTAGAACCCTCCAGCCAAAGACAATGAAATGAAAGCCCCCCTACACCCTGCACCACCCATAAGAGCGGCTTATGTACGCGACACTGCAGCGCCTGGAGGCGTCAGCCCCGAGTATATACTCGCATTTGTAGAAACAGAAGTATGCACATGCATACTCATCCAGGTCTACGAGTGTACATACTCGTGGCAAGCTTATAAGGTTTATTGCCACCGGCTTTTGTCTGGGGGCCTGTCAGTAGAAATCGGATACCATGCCCGACCTGGGCTGCAGCAAGCCCACTGAACGTCTTCGTCAAATGCAAAGCAAACAAAAACGAGAAGGAACGTGTGAGTCGCTTCTGGGGACGCGACTCTACTTATACCCGTACTCAGTCAGTATATACATTTTTGAGCTTATGATTTTTTAGAATTTTAGAAATTTTGAAATACACTTGTTGCAGTGTGATATCACATGAGTCTGGAAACCAAATTTGGTTGCCCTAGCTCTTATAGTCTCTTAGATCCAGTCGACAAACAAGACGGACGGACGGACGAACAGACGGACGGACATGGCTATATCGACTCGGCTATTGATGCTGATCAAGAATATATATACTTTATATGGTCGGAAACGTTTCCTTCTCTGCGTTACACACATCCACTTTTACCACAAATCGAATATACCTCTTAACTCTTTTTGAGTACGGGTATAAAAACACAACAAAGTAATCAATTTGCTGCGGGTGTGGTGACACCCTGTATGAGACAGCATCATCCATAAATGGCTGCAGCAATGTTTTCCCACTAATTACTGCTACATTTGTTTTGGAACAAGAGGAACGTGGCACCAGAGACTGGCTAACAATAGGAAAACCAATTAGTTCTAATTTGAATATGATTCAAATTTTATGCAATAATTATGGTCAAGATGAAACTGAAATGTTATTTTTTGTATGTTTAAGAATAAATTGAACATCTATTCAGAGTTTGCCTAACGAATTTTAGGAATTCTCGCATTATAGAGTAAAGTGGCCAGAAAAGTAACCCTGGTGGATCGGTTTTTCTTGTGTCAGATATATGATATGGTGGGTGATCGGTTCTCGGCCGCTTCCGAGCTGAGAGACACTGAAGCTATCGACTCAGCTCGTCATCATGCTCAATATTTAGTGTATGGGGTAAATAATAAATAATAATAAAATTGTAAAATTGCAATGCAAATGAGTAATTCCGAGCTTACACTCTAACTATTGTACTAAATATAATATGATATTACAAAACGAAGAGATGGTCTGTCCTATTAAACCTGAGTATGTGACAATTGTCTGAGTTCAAACGTATTCGGGAAATGTTCTGCCTACTGAGAAGAGAGTAACCACGGTACAGACGGCGCAGACAAGACGTGGGACAATGACCGATTTGCTGACCAATAGGTCCGACTTGAAATTGAATATGGCGAGGGATTTGTGCAGTTGTCTTGCCACTGTGCAGCCAGAGACCATTGGAGTTGGGCAGCGACACTCGATACGGCACACTTTGCTCTTGTGGGCTCAAGGAAATCAAGAATGGCAGAGTCTTCACAGAGTGGAACCAACACCCTCGACAATGCGCCATGGAGTAGGCTCTTCGATCTGTTTGCTGCAGTAATTAGAGGCGTCAATGCCGTGGCCACAGAGTGATAAGCGCTGAACCAACAGCAGCAGCAGCAGCAAGCTCAAGGCCGGTGAGGCGGTGCGAGGTGGGACGGATCGGCAGGAACGAGAGAGTCGACTACACGTTTTCCAAGGCCTCCCGTCGCATCTCAGTCTGGATCCACAGACATCGCATGACATCATATCCTACAAGTCGTCGTTGCGTCGTCGTCGTCGGGGGACTCCTTCAATCACGACGCGTACTGCCAGGAGATGGAGACAGGCAGCAGGCAGCAGGCAACAATACTCGTCGTAAATGTATTTGAATAAATTTGTTTCTTATTGGCAATTTGCTGTTACTGTTGCTGTTGCTGTTTTTGCTGCTGCTGCTGCTTCTGGTGTGATAACAGCGAAAATTTGAAGCAGATGTCAGAGGGTACTAGATGGGCAAGTCGAAGAGAGAGAAAGAGCGAGAGAAAGCGAGAGCAAGTGGCGTTTTTCACCACAAAAATACACAAACGATGAATGGTGGGCGAGAAGGGGCGAAGAGTGTTGTCCACGTCGGCGTCTGGCTGACAGAGTGACTGGCAAAGCCACCACAGGGCGGGTGGCGCTACAGCTCCCCCATCCAGAGACCAGAACAGAACCCACAGCACAGAGCACAGAGCACAGGCCAGGCGCCGCCTGCCTTGTGGGCCACTCGGTCATGCCGCACAATATCGATTTACTCGCACATTCACGGACGGACGGACCGACGACCCCCTCTACTGCTCTTCCATGAAGCTTTTACTCTTACGCGCTGTTGGGTAAGGTTCCTGAGTGGGGGGCTGGGCTCGGCTGGGCTGTAGGTGGAGCGCTTTTCGCTTGACTTTTGCTGTTAGTTACAGTTGTTGCTGTTGCTGTGAATGTGGTGGTGGTGATGGTGGTGATGGTGGTGGTGTGGTGGGAGAAGCAACGATGATGTCGTCAATGACGCTCGCAAAAGTAAAGGAGGCTGCAGCCGACCGACCCACCAACCCACCAACCCACCAACCCACCGACCGACCATCTTATAAAAATAAATGGCTGCGCTAACTAAATAGATGAGGAAGGAAGTGTCGGCGGGTGCTGGTGGCGCGGATCGGGGCGCCTCGCCTCGCCTCCGCTTACATCATACACACTCGTGTTTTCCTCAGCGGCGCAAAGACAATGGAGGACTCGTGAAAAGGATAGACTCAAGAAAAACAAGAGGAGGCACAAAAATAAAGGAAAGTAGACAATTGACTTGCAATTTGCATAAAGCCAAACGGGGCAGGACGGCACGGCACGGGATGGGGCTCGCAATTTGGATGGATAAACAGGGGCTCAGCTGATTAGGCCCCACACCCACAGCTCACAGCTCCCAGCTCACACCTCACGCTCCCGTGTGCAGTCCCATTTCATAATCAATTTTTACCATTTTGCTGATTGTGGCTGGTGCTGTCGATGGAGCCAAACTTTTCACTTAGACTCGGCTTGAAACTCTCTGTTTCGCTGAGGCTCTTGTCAGTTACAGTCGTTAGATGGGCTTTAGCGGAAAACAGATACAGAAGAAAACCGTTGCATTGGAAAACATATATGAGGAAATGTGGCCTGGCCTGGCCTGGCCTCAGATTTTCAGTTCACTTTTCGTTCTCGGCTATCTACGAGTAACGTATCCCGTTAATCACTTCACTCCACTTCACTTCACAATCGGCTCCACTCGCTGCAGCTGTTTTTCGCACAGCAGTTAGTAATGCATTTTTCCACCGACGCGACCCGTTATTATTTAGTTTTCCGCTTTTTCGTATTCTTTTCTCGTGGGGGGTGGGTGAAGGGGGAGAACGAGAACTGCGGCTTTGGCTCTGCTCTGCGGTGTGTTGGTGTTTCTCTCTTTCTATGCCTCTGCTGTGTGTGTTGGGTGTGAGTGTGTGTGTGTGTGTGTGAGTGTGTGTGTGTGTGTGACTGTGGTTCGACACGAGCGATGTGCACTTATTCGCGTTCAAATACTAGGGTATCAAGAGCAGCAGCAGCAGAAGCAGAAGCGTCAACCGACTCCGCCGAGTTTTGGAAATTCAATGCGCACTGGTGGCGCGTCGTCAAGTCTGCCCTGCCGCACAACTTCGCACAGGGCCGAGGGTGGTGGTGGGGGCGGGTGTCAGAAACCCACCACAGCCGAGCACACGACGGCAGGAAATGTCAGACTGTGTTGGCTGGCGCTTCAAGGCGAGTGGGGGGTGTGTGTGTCGGTGTTTATTGGGGCGGAGCTGCCAACTTGCTGCCCCTCGGCGCGCCATCTATGGGAGCTTTGCGTAACGGTCAAAGCAGGAACTTGACCGAAATGGTCCGTAGTCCGGAGTCCGGACCGACAGTTCGGACAGTCCGGACAAACAATGGCCCGGCATCGCATTTATGTATTTGTTTGATTATTATTTATATGCGCCCTCCCCCGGCCGGCCACAAGCGTCAAGTGCATTGGCCCGGTCAATAGCCAAACAGCAAACAGTAAAAAGCAAAAAGCAAACAAATGATCTTCCTCGGCGACGCACCATTTGAAGTGCCGCAAAGGACATCAATTGTCTGGATTTTGCCACATTATCCTTTACATTGCGGCCATGCGATCGGCAATCAATGCCGATGATCGGGCTCGGCTCTCTCAGATGTGCAACGTGACATGGCTACATGCCGCACCTTCAGATCTAGCCGCCAGCGCTTGCCCCGTCGGCCTCTTGCGAAAACAAAGACAGCTCGGGGAGGACACTCTCGCTCTCGCTCGTCACTTGTAAAAATCGGCATCACAATGACGGATTTACCTGTTGACACCTCACAAATAGACAATTCTGCTAATTAATAATGGGAGCGCTCTCGAGGCTCGCATCGGCCCGGCAGGACCAAGAAATATGACTGCTCTCCGGAATTCAATTGTAACAGGTTAAATGGCTCAATTATTAGTCGGTACTTCACAGGTCGGGCAGACATCCAGTCTGCGAAAGTCGGGTGCGCAGTAGTTCCCGGGAAATGGAGCGGCTGCTCCTTTGAGTTGACAGAAGTAACGCAGAAATATGACTTTGATTCACGAATTTCAGGGACTGGATGAGGGGCAGTGATAGGCCTAGAGCTGTCTGAGAGTAGAGTGTGAACTGCCGTGCAACTATTACGGCTTTGTTAGCTGTCACTCGTTAAGGGAGTCGTTACGGGGATTGTAAATCAAAGCCAATCACGGGAGCTAAAGTTGTCGCATGCGATATGATATGGGATATGGCGGTTATGAAGGGATTATGGATCATACTCTTTGTATGATCATATCCATCGCTTTCTTAAACTTAAAAGAACCATGAAACAAAGAATAAATCAACGAGCATTTAACATTTTCAACACACAAAAAAACCTTGAAAATTCGATAAAGTGGTTCCAAAAAGTCTGTCTGTTCATTTCTGGCTAAGTAAAGGGATAACATAAGCCCGTTATTGTTGCTAACAACACAGTTTTTCCTCAAGCAACTTTTTACAGCTGTGGCATAAATAATAGCACCATAACTTTTCTGTACTGAATAATTCTGCTTAAACAGTGGTTTTAATGAACGCTTTTAAAACTAAAATATAAATTTAAGGGTGTAATTTAACGTATCCGAAATCAATGATATGTATTGCAGCCTTCGAACGAAAATATTAGAAAAGCAACAAAATTTTTCAGGAATTACGGCGGCAACAAAAAACTTAAAAAAAATACAAATTTAAAAGAAGTTTTAAAAATTTTGTATTAAAATAGGTTACTTTAGTTGTAATCAAATATTAATTTGGTTGTAAAGCCTTTGGCAGAAACAACGGCTCAACGTCTTGGCATTGAAATTAACCTCATTTTCGCATCGTACTGGGAGATATGGCTCCACGAATAATTTATGATACCCCATAGATCAATATTGTTCTTTGGTTTCGTATTAAAAACATATTTTTTAGCTTTAGCGCAAAGGTTTTCCCTGGGTTTCATATCTGGGGAGTAAGCAGGCCAATGCATTACATTAAATACGAGCTTTCTTGCTGGTCTGGTTTGGGTCATTGTCCTGATGGCAGAAACAAAACAACCGCATTTCCTATTCCAAATAAGGCAGCATAATTGTTTTCTAATATTTTAAGATACACATGTTACACCATCATCTATTGTATTGTATTGTATTCTGCATTAGTTATCGTCTTACATAAGATCGAGACACTTTTCCAACAAAAAAAAAAAAACAATTTGTCTTTCTTGGGCCCACATGATATTTCTGTGGGACAACTTCAGTGCTATTTTGCATTCACTTTGCCCCATGGCTTTCTTTCTAAAGTGGATATTTTCTCGGACTTTTTGCACTTAATTTATACTCTTGTAAGCAAGAACTGGCTTTGTTCATCGTTTGCGATTTTTTAAGATAATTTTTTTGCTCTTTCGACGGCTTATAAAGGTCCGTCTTGCTCCCATAAAAATCAAAATACCGAAAATGGCGTTATCGCGGCTTATCGCTTTTATTCTTTATTCTTGTTGGTTAAAAGTTTTAAATCATTGCGAATGATTTTAGTTGAGCAACCGACAGTTTTCTTCACCTTAAGATAGTTGTCTCCTTCCGTAATAAAAGTTCTGATCCTTTCCTTTTTCTTTCCCAAAGGGCATTCGAAGACCCATAACTACTTGTAACGTTCTTGCTACAATAGACTTAAGCCACCGATTATTAATTTAATCAACAATCAGCAGGAAAAAGTAAAAGTTTTTATATAAAAAAAAAATTGTTGTGCTATTTTTATTGCCGTCCTATTTCGCTTCTTTTTTCGAAAATTGACTGAAGTAATGAGAACCGTTTGGAATTAGGGAGGAATCGTTTGCTTAGAGGGAAAAATATGTTGGTAAGTGATCATGTTTTTAAACAATAAAGACTGTGGTAGCAAACAGTGCTATTATTTCCGCCGCAACTCTACATATGCTACTCGTATATGATCAAATCAGGTAGGTCTAATAATAATACGAGTATTATTCCTATATTCATTCGTCTTATCTTCTTAATAAACAAAATATATAAATATATATGTTAGTACAATTTACATTGTACATAGTATGTACAGCTGTGTTCAATGAAATAGTAGTGCCGCACCTCATCACTTTCAAAACTCTTTTTGAGACACTTCCAGTTATCCAAATTGAACAAATGATACCTTTTTAAATAGACTGGACTGTTAGCATTAGAAAACTGAAGAAATATCAATACATTTGAGTTCCATTTTCTTGTTTTACATGACATAGGCCGAATACCCATGAAATTTGCTGTTCAATGAAATAGTAGTGTTTTTTTAGAACATTGAAGAAAAGAACGAATCTCAAATTAAAACATATATTTAATTTTCTTCATGTTTCTTGAGCTTTAATATTTAGTTTTTAATCAATTTGGTTTTCATTGCGAACTTTCACCGGCCGTACATGGGTCATTAGTCTCTTGCCAACGCTTCAATAGGATTTGAGCCAATAATCCATGAACCACTTGCTAAAACTTGGCTCTGGTTGACGGATTTTCAGTTGCAACAATGTATTTGGTATTCTCCCATAAGATTTCGATGAGATTAATATCCAGTTGGACAGTTGGCCATGGCAAAACGTCGATCTTTTCCGATAACAATTAAATCCTAGCGAGCTTTTATTTTTGTTTCAAGTCATTATCCTGTTAAAATATCCTTTTAGCCAGGAATTTTTCAACTGTAATATGAATGTAATGTATTCTAGAGTATGCCTACATCCCCAGTTTCGCTCAAAACCATACTATACTCAAACGCCAGGCTAGAAAGTACTAGCTCATATGAGCTGGGCCCCATAAGGCTCAGCCTAGCATGCCCAATGCTATATTTTTCATGATTTTAGGTGGTAATCGGATTTCTGTGAATGCCAAACATATTCTTTTGAGTCTATCTTACAATATAATACAACTTTACTATCATTAGTCAAAAGTATTTTTGTCACTGTGACACAGGCCATTCCACAAGCGTTTTTCCAAACTGAAGTCGTGCACCCATGTACTCTCAGACCCAAACGCGGAGCTTTCTGGGACTTCTTGCATTCAAATAATGTGTAATCAACCGTCTACGAAATGTCACATCACTGACAGATCGATTAAAAATTTTTTTCCTAATTTTTGAGGATATTGAAGTCCTTGTCTTGCCTTCGACCATCGCCGACCATCCTCTAAAAAATTAGTTTTTCGCATACAAAATCAATTTCCAGTCTACTTCTTTTAGTTAATTGGGTTAAATACAATAGTGGGAGTGCATACAACTTAATTTTCATTCCCATTATACCTCCTGCCTTTAGTTTTTAGCCTAACTCTTAGGTCTCCTCTTCTTGACCGAGCAATGATTTCTTCAACGCTTCAAAATCAAAAGTACCCCAATGTCCAAAACTTTCCTTCATCAAATTATTTCATATCTAAATTGAGCTTGCGGATGGTGACTTATTTAAATTAATTTGCCTTGTTTATTCATTTTTAAAAATTAATTAAACCCAGCACTACTATTTCATTGAACAGTAGATATCATGGGTAGTTGTCTAAAGTCATGAAAAACAAGAAGATGGAATGCAAATGTAACGGGGTTTCTTCAAGTTTCTAATGTTGTTCAATTTGAAGGACAAGAAATATCTCAAAAAGAGTTTTGAAAGTAGTGAGGTGCGGCACTACTATTTCATTGAACACAACTGTATGTGCATGTATCAGTCAGAGATTGTTCCTTGAGTAATGCTTATGTTTTAGACTGGGTTCTATGACAGACTAAGAGGAAGGAAGGAAGCTACTTAGCCTTGAATATGTTAGCAGATTTCTTGGCTGCCAGCATGACCCTCCCCTCACAAAAAGCACACCTAATATTCCATATTTCATAAGTTGCTCCCTTAGAAGTAATTATTGGTGCACTTAAAACAAAATGAATATATTTTCATAAGTTTTAGCGAAAGGGAAATATGAATGTGATTTAATCTTTAAATGTGCCAAAAGTCTATTTTACACTTATTTAAATTTATTCATTTTATTTTGCCATTTCCCGATTCCATTTCTTAGTTATTTTATTTCATTCCGCAATTAATGGATACCATTTTTACC